GTATCGATCAGGCCAGTCGAAACGGGAAAGGCATTTGCGCCGAGCTGCATTCTATGCAGCAGACTCAATTAGCATGTCTGACCAACTGGGAAACACCTTTGCAGAGTTCACCTGTCGAGAACTACCCATTCAATGCGCGATGTGCACTTTTGATTGCGCTCAGGTGATCGCTGAGTGGATTACGACGGTCCAGGAACGTGTCGGCCCGTACCTTGGTGTTCTTGGCCGTGACGAAGTGGATCTGGCCCAGGCCGCCAATCTCCTGTTGCTGGAAGACGAAGATTGCAAACTCATAGAGAAGATCAAGGAGATTCTGGGAAACATCGAAAATAAGATGCAGAGAGAGGTGCAAAGCAGCGTCACCACGTCGGCTCTCAGCGTTCTCCAGCGCCTGCCCAGTGTTGTGGAGGGCGGCTACGGCTGCAAGATCCTGGTTGCTACAGCCAGTCTTCTCGACCGGGCCGCTGTCTGGCCGATGATCAAGATCATGGCTCGATCCCTTGAAGCGCAAGCTCTGCGGCTGAAGGAACGAGCGCACAACTCAACTCTCGGGGGGAACTAGCCTCGATGCCTCTGCCTCAAACTCGTGCGTGCTATAATATTCTTTCTGCTTGCGGACAAATCACACGACCGACGATGCAGTGCTACCGGTCTGCCATCGTTTTATTCCTAGAGTGGTTTTGCTGGACGATATAACCATGAATTGGTGCGTCTTTCGGGCCTATTTATACAATCCTGATCCTTCTGGAAGACTCTTGAAGAATCCCCCTACAAAAGTTACCCTGTGCCTTGGCTGGTGAGAACCCAGCGATGCTGCCAGACTGGAGGGGCTGGTGCGCTATGCCATCACCACCCTTCGTTACGTTAACGCTATCACGCAAGTGCCCCACTGTGATTTTATATGATTATTTTGTGCGTTCTGTACTTGATATCGAGAGTTGATTTTTATGTATTTGTGAACGAAGGTTCGATCTACGATGTTTGATGTTTATTTTTATTGTTGATTTTGGACAGGCAGGACTTGGCGGGGCATGAGAGAAACTGTGGGCCTAACGACCGAAATGCTGGAATTGTCACGATACCCTGGATCAGCAGTACGATGTGAGACTGACATGACGGGTGGCATAAGCCGGACCCTTTTGATAGCTGTGCACATATACACTTGAGATACAACCTGTACATATGCGAATACAATGTGCGATGACCGGACATGGTTGAAGTTTTTGAGTGTAGGGGGTAGCAGATGCAGAGTGTAGTTCGGGGACGAATGAGTGGCTTGCAGTAGTAGGAAGTTATTATAATTTGCCATCAGCAGCTGAACTACCAGTCAAAGCCCATTGGCATAGACCATCTGCAGTCGAGAGGACAGACGAGACAACTGAACAAACTACACTCTACTACAGCCCCGCAGCCTAACGCAAAAGATGATAATGCACAACCAAGACGTCACTTTTTCTATCCATCCAGTAATATATGTAAGTAAAGTATGTGTGTCCGCATACAATCTCTCTTCTCTCTCCTCGTCGTTGTCCCCCATTCCACTTTGAATCTTTTGGTACGTAACTATACAAACAGCCTCTCGAAAGAATACTTCCCCACGGCCTTCCGCCGCAGGTACCCGATCTCTCGACTACTGCGGGCCTTGACCTCGCCCGTCTCCTTCTTGACCTTGGTCTTGCTGACGTCGTGGGCGGCGGCCTTGAGCGACAGGGGCAACAGCTTCCCACCGGCGGCCTCGCCGCCGGCGCCGCCTTCCTCGCCGTCGCCGGCACCGAAGATGACCAGGTCGGCGCCGTTGAGTTTCTCGTACCGGACGACATTGGCGGGGGTGACGGGCTGCTCGGTCGCGGGGATGACTGCCGTCTCAGCAACGGCGGTGGTGGTGACGGCAGTGGTGGTGGCCTTGACGCTATTCGTGTAGCGGAGGTACTCCCGGAGAATGCCGGTGAGGTAGGTGGCCTCCTCGACGCCGGCGAGGGCGGCGGAGATCTCGGACTTGATGTCGGCGATCAGCTCCTGGCTGTTTTCGGCCAAGGGTTCCCCGGGGGAGGCGGCGGCGGCGATCCAGCCCGAGGGGCCGATGGCGTCGATGGCGGCGTTCAGGCAGGTGGTGATGGTGTCGAGGGGCAGGGCGGGGTTGGTCTGGTCCGGCGAGATCGGGGTCGGCGGGTTCTCGGTGAAGCGAGTGGTGTGGCCGCTGGTGGCGAGGCAGAGGCGGAGGTGGTGGACCATGGAGATCAGTTCGGAGCGGGTGAGGGCGGAGCGGAGGGCGGTCGTGAGGGTGGCGGGCGGGTGGGTGTGGAGTTTGTGCAGGGTCGTGTTGAGGCCCTTGTAGATGTTGTGGAGGGTGGCGGGCTCCGTTGGAGTAGTTGTTGTTGTCGTGACGAGGGCGTTGGAGTCTGAGTTTGTGGAGGGATCGGCCGGGGAGTCGGACATCTCCTCATCGTGATCGGGCTGCGTTTCGCCGGAGGTGAGGAGCTTGGCGCGCGCCTCCTCGAGGATGATGGCGCTGGAGCGTGCCTTGTCGAGGAACAGGCGTAGGGCGTAGGCGAGCTCGTCGGTCGAGAGCACCACCCGGCCGGACAGCACGCTGTTGAGTCTTTGCAGCGTCGGGTCCGAGTCGACCAGCCCCTGCACGAAGGTGCCCACGGGCAGCGGTTGCAGGATGCGCGGCTTGATGCTGCGGCGCAAGGCGATCTCGACGTTCGCCTGCGAAAGGTGGCCGATGTTGATGAGCCATTGGCAGGTGCGTTCGGGCCAGATGGCTATCGAGAGGCGGGAGGCGGTGGGCGCGGAGAGCGTGTCCTTGCTGGTTTGGGTGTTGTTCTCCTCCTTCAGGGAGAAGATCAGGGTCAGGAGGAAGAGCGTCAGTTCCGAGTTGACGAACTTTCCGGGCCCCGGGAGGGTCTTGGACTCCCCGGCGCCGAAGAACCGCTGCACTGCCGTGTCGAAGGCGGTGGCATTGTTGCCCTTGACGCACTCGCGGAGATCGTTGGTCAGCTGCGTCCACCGCACGGTCTGCTTGGCAGTCAGCCCAAAGACGGCGGCATCCTCGGTTCGCAGCTTCTTCGAGCTAAGGTCGGACTGGGCGTATGAGGGTCCGATACCGCGGCCGATGGCGTCGATCAAGAGGCCGTCGCGAGGGCGTTTGACGGGCCCGGCGGCGAGACTCGAGGAGCTCAGGTCGAACGCCAGCAGAGTGTTGTTCTTCGTGGCGAGGGCAACCCCCAACCGGGCAAAGTAACTGACGAAGGTCGTGGGTGCCTTGACGCTGGATGAGCCACTCGCCGGGACGTCGCTAACGGCGATACTCCGCTGGATGGACAGGTATTGGGTGTCGTAGACGGCGATCATCGATTGACCAGCACCGATCACGGATTGGGGCGAGATGCGCATGATTGACGAGAAGGTCTCATTTTCGAGGATGAACTTCGACGTCAGCGTGGGGGCGTACTGGGAGAGATCGAAGTTGATATGTCCGTGTGGGAACGAGAGGTTCAGTCCAGCCGATCCGGAGTGGAAGTACCACTGCGAGCCCTGGCGCTCAATGGTCTCCTGTCCGCTGACCTCGGGGATGCTGATCGTGAGCAGGTGTCTCATCTTCTGGCTTTCATCGATGCTGCGCTCTAGAAGGGTAGCGTCGGAGGGCACGGAGAACATCTGGACTTTGACGTCGCTGAGTTTGACCGGATCGGATCCATTGGGGTGCGAGACGACCAACAGAATAGAAGGCTCATCCACGCCGCTGTCGGTGAGGCTGCCGAGCGCCAAAGCCGTCAGGTCTTGACGGCGCTTAAGCAGAGATTTCTTCGCATCCTCGAATTCAACAAGGAAACAGGCGTTGACGCTGTGTGTCGAGCTGATCTTGGCCACCTCGCTGTGTTTCATGCTCCACCGCTGGGTCTTGAGATCGGGAGAGAGTCGGCGGACGCGACCATCTTGGTGAACCGCGAGAATGTCGAATGAGCCTTCAGGTTCTTGCTCAGTCGAAGGGCCAGGGACAATCCCCACGAAGTTGACTGGGCTATCTGAATCGTTGACGGAGTAGGACGAGGAGGAAATCATCGGGGCGCTGGAGCCATTGCCACCACTTTCTTCAACGAATGCCTTGATCTGCTGCTTCAAGGCGATGTACGTCTGTCTCCTGACCACGGATTTGCTGGGGATCTTTCTGCGCACCGAGCAGGGCTGGCAAGTGAAGGATGATTGCGGCGGGACGGCGTAGGAGGTCACCAATTTGGGGGTTTGAATCTATCCAGAGGCAAGATCGTCAGCATGGAGATCCTTATGCGATTGATTGACAAGTGATAACATACGTTGTAAATGTTCACGGCTTCACCATCTGCCGCAACGACGACTTCATGTCTCTTTCGCTTTTTCGACTCGGCCAGACTGAAGACATCGCCGATGTGGGTTTTGCCGGTTGAGGCGTGCAATGGGCGAGGCAACTGAGCCAGCACCGACGGCGGTTGCAAATCCATGGTAGCGACAGTTGAGATCAGAGTATGCGACAAAACTGCGACCGTTGTCGCTATGAAACTGCGGCGTCGGCCTTCACAGAAAGAAAATGGATCTGTATGCCTCCCCGAAAAATTTCCGGGCTTATGGTTGCTCCGGGTCCCGGCGCCGATACCCAAAGCGGCTTAGGCGGGAATGACGTCCGGGCAGCGCAAGAAAGCCTCAGGCCTCAGACCTCAGGCCTCAGGCCGCAGGCCGAGTCCCTCCCGGGCGGCCTTTTCATCCCGCCCTTAATTGAAGGCGCGGAAACACGCGCAGCGCGTCTTTTGGTGCCCGCCCGCTTATCACTACAACCGCACCAGAACATCGAACATCTCTCACTTTCACCTTGACTCTCCTTGTCTACATCATGATCTAGAAATTATTTCGAAAGCCGTCTCCGCGCAATTCATGTCCTTCTTTTACATGTTCTCTCCGTTATCTCTCCTACAACCTCCTTTCAGGTGATGAGCTTCTGCTCATCATCTGGAGTCTCTCAATTGATGGCCACTGGACATGGCGAACAGAGGGCTATCCACCCCTTCTTTCGCAAAGGTCGTTCCCCTGTTCGTCATTCAGTTCATACAAAGGCTGACTGTGAGCAGATTTCGGAGTAGCACCCGACCCAATTATCCATAACCCCGTCAATGATGCTGCCGCGCAGCCCCAACTATCTCACGGCGACAGTGCCCGGCCTATCTCAGAAATCAACAACCCTCTCAATTCCTCCGAATCTTGCGACACATCCCGCATCCACTCGTTAGCTATGCTCGATCATGATCCAAATTCCGAACGAAGGAAACGAAGGAAGACAGACAAAGATGACCCGGCAGAGACGACACAGGTTACGGTCAATCCGTCCTCAACCAAGCCTGAATCCGGGGAGTCACAGCCTGAGACACCGACCAGTCCGGAAATTGAAAACCCTCCACTCAGCAATCCTCAGGTCGTAATTGCGTCAGGGGAGAGAAGGTTGCCCAGGCAGAAGACAATTAAATTGAATGCCAATGGGAAATTATTGTCATCGCCGGTGTCTGCTAAGGTTGAGGACAATCCGAGAAAGGGGAGGAAGAATAAACGCGGCAAAGCAGCTGACCAAAAGGCTCAGCCTCTTGGGAGCAAGGTTGTCATCATTAAGTACAATGTGGAAGCGAATTCGGAGAATAGGCTTGCCCAGCTCATAGACGACATTATCAGTGGTCGGAAGAAACACATCGCAGCCACAAAGCCTCTCCAACAGACCGCGGTACCTTCTATACCTAAACAGGAGCAGTCTGCTAAAGCAACCCATCCGTTCTTCCTGAAGAAGTCCTCTCAAAAGGCGAATCACTGCAACACTCAGACAGACGCTCATGAGGCAACCCCCCCGAACTCCCAACGAAAAGACACTAAGCAAGTCGACTCGTCGCCGAGATTCCCTCTCAAATCTAGCTCAAGCTTTTTAGGATCATCAACACCAACTTCATTCGCTAAGCGGCCTAGATACCCCGAACTCGCGCACCCAATCTGGCCACCTCATGGCCTCACACACGTCAGGGGCACACCAGACGATCTCGAATCCTACAGCCTCAATGATGACATGAGGGGCCTAGGTCCGAAGAAGTCCAAAACTGCTGCGATCAATGTCCCCGATGACGAAAATGTCCTCTTACTTCGGCTACCCAAGAACCCCTCCGCTGCGTCAGGAATACTGAGAATACCTGGAAGACACGTTGCCAGTGGGAAGATCTTGCAATGCGCCGTCACCAGACAACTCTCCGAACAAGCTTCATCTGTACGAACGAAGAAGAGTACTCTGAATAAGACTTGTCACGCTGCCCTCGCCAAACTCCACGCTTCGCTCACCAGTTCCATGTCCGCTTTTGACCTTGGTCTTTGCGACTCCGCTAGCTGGACTCAAAAATACGCTCCCCAATCTGCAGAGCAGGTTCTCCAAGCCACGAGGGAAGTCTTTATGCTGCGCGATTGGCTGCAGTATCTCAAGGTCACCGCGGTCGACACAGGCAAACCACCAAAAGACGATGCGGCGGCGGCGAAAAAGAAGACGGAGGAGAGGAAGCGCAAGAAGCGCAAGAAGGACAAGCTGGACGGCTTTATTGTATCCAGTGAAGAGGAAGCCTCCGAGATGGACGAAATTTCTGGCTCGGATGATGAACTCGCTGCGGACATGACCACCAAAAAGACCGTCGTTCGTGCTGGTGACATGGCGCTAGGTTCAAAATCTGGGACCGAGAAAACCCGCATGTCCAATGTCATCTTGGTAAGCGGACCTTCGGGGTGTGGCAAGACGGCATCGATTCATGCAGTAGCCAAGGAGCTGGACTTTGAGGTGTTCGAAATCAACCCGGGAAATCGCCGGAGCGCCAAGGACATCCTGGACCGTGTAGGTGACATGACACGCAACCATCTGGTCAATCACCACCACACCGATGACAGTGCATCTGATGGAAGTGGTGTCGAGCTAGTGGACCCGAAACAGAATAAACTCAAAGGGTTCTTCCAGTCAACATCAACTGTCAAGTCAGGGGCCAAGCCGGCACCCGAACCAAAATCCTCAACACAAGAGTCAGAGACGAAACGTTCTCGCAGCCAGAAGCAATCCTTCATTTTTCTGGAGGAGGCAGACATCCTTTTCGAAGAAGACAAGGGATTCTGGTCCGGGGTGATGACGCTAATCAGCCAATCGAAACGGCCAATCATCATCACCTGCAACAACGAGAAACTTCTTCCACTCCAAGACATCTCCTTTCATGCCATACTTCGCTACCGACCTCCTCCAAAAGTTCTTGCTGTTGACTATCTCCTCCTCGTGGCTGCCAATGAGGGCCACATGCTTAAACGAGGAGCGGCCGAGAGCCTCTACGACAGCACAGGTCGGGATCTCCGGCGATCTATCATGGAGTTGGATTTCTGGTGCCAGATGACGATCGGCAGCGAGAAGTCCGGCCTTGACTGGATCCTTGATCGCTGGCCGCGGGGGTTGGACCTTGATCCGAACGGTGACCCTCTTCGGGTGCTGAGTCTTAATGCATACGAGCCATTCATGGGCTGGTTTGGGCGCGACATGCTGCAAAGTCACGGACCAGACAGTGAGGTTGAACCTCGACTAGAGTCACTTGCATGGTGGCGGCTTAGCATGCAGGAAACACAGACCATGAACACTGTCAGGCAGTCTGATTCGTATCATTCGGGCACGAAACAGGTGAATGCGATATCCAACGCTGATCATCTAGAAACATTATTGCAAAAGTCCAAATTTGCCGATTTACAAAGTGACCTTGACCTTCTCTGCTCCCGCTGCTCACTTGACATGAAGCTGGTAAGCCTCTCTCTTCATATGCTAAATCTTCGAGTTAACACATTTAGGACACTATGGATCCCTCAATCCCTCCATTACCGGAAAAGCAAAGGACAAACTACACGGAAGGTTATCAATTGCTCTCCGCCGATATCATGCCGGAGTACACAGCAATGCCGGCGGCCATGGGCTGCACCTTCGAGACTTTACTAGAGAAGACTTTCCCGCATGAATATCAAAAGGACAAGCAGTCTCCTAATATGAAAGCCTCGGATAAGAAGACTCCAGATCGTGAATCGGAGTATGGCGCAATGGTCCTGCAAAAAGTGAATAACCCCCCCAGTGCTGGTCTTGGCCGTGCTGAATTCAATGCGGCCTTCGAGCCTATGACACGAGCGGATTACATCTTCCCCATACCCACTGGCCGCTTGGCACCTTCATTTGAAAACGGAATGCGTCCCATCGCTGAGGATCTAGGACCGTATATCCGAGGAATCATGGCCTATGATCTCCGCTTGGCACACCGTCGGCTACAGCTGGGTGAAATTCTCTCCAGCGATGGGAAAGGGGCCAAGCGCACACGACAGACCCGAGCCAGTCGAGCAGCGCTTGAGGGGGGTGACAAAGCATATACTCGGAAGGAGAGATGGTTTCCATCGGATGCCAATCCGTCGCTGGTGTTCGCGACGGGCAAGCAGGAATGGCAGGAAATCCTGGCACGGAAGGGCTACTTTGTTGTATCGCCTCTTGGGGAAGGTCAGGTGGAATGCAACGATCGGTCATCCGAGAGCTCGAGCGAGGGAGGCATATAGATAGAGGAGGTTAGCGACGCGACAGCGTTTGATGCGCGGAGACGACTGCAGGGCAGAGCTCGGCGATGCGATTCAGCATTGATCCCCCAGAACCTATATTTTCAGTGTATATAACTTAGAGCAATGTATGAGTAGCTCGATATTCCCAAGTTTTTATTTGTTAGTGGGATTTCAACATTGCGGTGAAGAGATACGTACCTCGATCGTTTTACCTTGTATGTACTGCGTACTCTGTAGCTGGTTCGTATGAGCCGGGGGGGGGGGGGGGGGGGAGGTTGAGGTGCAGTGGGCAAGGATGGAGAGCTCGGAAATGGCTGAGAAGGGATTAGTTGGTGGTTTGGTGTGGTTTGGTGGTTCCCGCAGTGGATCGGCGAGGGCGACATCACTCCATCCATTCCATTCCTCCTCCCTCAGCTGGGCTCTCCTTCGCAAACGCGTTTCCTTATCACCGCCCTCCTCTCCCTCCTCCCTCTCCACCTTTGCTCCAGCAACCACAACAAAACCTCCAACTTCCGACCTCAATCTCCCTTTGTACAAGAAAAGAAGAAGAGCAGGACCTTTTCTATCTTTTCCCCCCTTCCTAATTGTCGGTGTGCGCACTTGTAACAGTCTAACAGTCCTGGCAACTATTTTTATATTAGCTTGTTTTCCTCCCTTATCAGCCTCCTTCGCTCCCTCCCGCCTCCGACCGCACTCGGCTTCGTCATTGCCTTGGCCTCCTGCGACATCAACAACACTTCCACCATCACCCCCCTATACCGACCGTTCGCCCTCTGTTGACATTCCATGTCGCTCTTTGGCACATCTCCCGAGGATTCGGCGCTGGGTAATTCCGCGCAGAGATCCAAGTCCTCCCTTTTCGCAGACGAGCCGTCCTTTGGTGGGAACACAGGAAATGCGGGTTCCTCCTCCCTCTTCGCCGACGACGAGGGGCTGAACTCCGGCTCGCTCTGGGGCAACAGTGTCAACAAACGGACGAAACACCAAATTGTGAAGACTCTTCTTCCGCAAGATGAGGTTCCTGACAGCTATATCGATGCGTACGATCTGGTGATCAGTGAGGGGGATCGCGTGGGCAGTGGTGTGGGCCTGACGTCCGTCCGTGAAATCCTATCGAGCAGCGGACTCAGTGCCAGCGATCAGGAGAAAATCCTGAATTTGGTTGTCTCGGGCGATATAGACAGCTCCACTGGCCTAGGACGTGGCGAGTTCAGCGTGCTTCTGGCCCTCGTGGGCCTAGCGCAGGAAGGGGAGGACCTGACATTCGATGCGGTTGACGATCGACGCAAGAGTGAGTTGTCGCGGACCCTCCATGTCATCCTTTAGACCCGACTCGTGCAGCTAACAGCAAGTGCGCGGCCCACTTGAACAGAGCTCCCGCAGCCCAGGTGCTCTTATTTCGACGCATTGCGCGCTAAACACGAAACTGCTACATCGGGGCAGTCGTCGCAACAAGACCGTCCCACTACGCCTCCTGCCCCTGCCACCCCGCCGCCAGAGCCAAGCTCAACTCATTCGCGACAGTCCGCCCGTGGGTCCATGGGCAGCTTTGAAGCCGATCCGTGGGGAAGCCCTCAGCTGCATCGAGGACACGCCCATGCCCAAACCGAATCCGAACACCCCGTTCTCAATGGTTATGGCAGCGTACGATCCGGGACCAATGCATGGGCTAGCAGAGCCAGTGATACCAGCGGCCCGCAGGATGCGCCAGAGAATCCCCATCCCAATGGAGGGGCGGGCTTGGGTCCTTCTGCTAACCCTGGCTTTGGATGGGGAGACAACATTGGAAATACCTCGGATGGACATGGACTGGGAGGGCCGGTCCGAGCTGGACTTGGAGGCTTTGGCCCACCCGGGAGCGACCAAGGCGACTCCAATCCCCGTCGCCGGTCCTTAGGCATCGGTAGAGTTACGAATACCCGTATGGAGGAGGTGATCACGATCACCCTGCTTCCAGAAAAGGAAGGCATGTTCATGTTCCAGCATCGCAATTATGAAGTTAAGTCTGCCCGCAGAGGGAGCACCGTGGTTCGACGGTACAGTGACTTCGTGTGGCTCCTGGACTGCCTCCACAAACGCTATCCGTTCCGCCAATTGCCACTGCTGCCCCCCAAGAGGATTTCAGGTACGTTCATATTGAGGCTTGCTACAAGCTGTCCTCCAAGCTTACACACCTTCCCAAGTCAATGGCACTCACCTTTCAGCGGACTCCAATTCCTTCCTGGAAAAACGTCGTAGGGGACTTGTACGATTCACGAATGCGCTCGTTCGGCATCCGGTCTTGAGCCAGGAGCAATTGGTGGTTATGTTCTTGACGGTTCCGACAGTAGGTCTTTTGGATTCGTTGTGGTCCAAGCGGTGGATGGTCTGACATTGGGACAGGAACTTTCGGTGTGGCGGAAACAGGCGACCATTTCAGTGCAGGACGAATTTGCGGGCCGAGCCCTACCCCCCGATCTTGAAGACTCGCTCCCCTCCAATTTAATAGACCTGTTCGATACGGTCCGCGGTGGAGTCAAACGGTCGGCAGAGGTGTACATCAACCTGTGCACGCTGTTGGAGCGGTTAGCGAAGCGCAACGAGGGGCTTGCTGCCGATCACCTGCGGTTCTCCCTGGCGCTGCAGTCGCTGACCGAGGTGACACGCGACACCTACGCAGTGGATACGAACGATGTGCCGTTGCTCAACGAGGGAATCAAGGCCACGGCACGGCATCTGTCGGCAAGCCAGAGTCTGCTGGAGGACGAGGCTCGGGCTTGGGAGGATGGGATGCTGGAGGACCTCAAGCGCCAACGCGACTGTCTGGTCAGTGTGCGAGAGATGTTTGATCGGCGGGACCGATATGCTCGTAACAACATCCCCCAATTGGAGCGTCGCATTGAGAACAACGAGCGCAAGCTGCAGGAGCTGCGGGCCCGGCCCCAGAACACGGTCAAACCGGGCGAAATTGAAAAGGTGGAAGAAGCTATCTTCAAGGTATGTGGAATGTTCATTTCTGATTCTGCTTCAATGGTCCAGACTGGGATGGCTAACCCGGTTGCCTCGCCGGGGATTGCAGGACAAGGAATCGATTGTGCAACAACACGCACGTGGGGTGTTTATCAAGGAGTGCATTCGGGACGAACTCGTGTTTTTCCAGCAAAGTCAGTATCACATCAGCCGGCTGCATCAAGATTGGAGTCAGGAGCGGGTCAAGTACTCGGAGCTGCAGGCGGACAACTGGCGGTCACTCAGCGATCAAGTGGAGGGCATGCCGTTAGGGGACTGATGCACTGATGCACGTGTCAATTACTGGCACTGAACATTGCTTTTTCTTCTTTTTTCTCTCTTTTTTTGGTCTTAAATTCTTGCGCCGTGCCTCCTGCCTACTGTATCTCAGAGAATTTTTTCTTTACTCGCGCTATCCTGCCGAAGTGATTTTTGATCGTGGTTTTCCTGCAGCGACTCTAGCCCCCTGTACGCATCCCTGTTTGGCAGACGGACCTACCGCCTGCAGAGTGTTAATTTTAGGTTTCTTTTTCTTCTGGACAGTTGAACGGTTGCCGTTTTGGACACCTTGTGCTGATGGTCCCCGAGTGCAGAGATCACGGGTTGGACACATGGTTGGGTTGCTTGCTTGGTTGGGAGTGACCTGCAGGAGACATTGCATCGCTGGGCCCGGCCAAATCAGGCGTACCGTGCTGTAGTGTGAGGTATCTGCTAGTTATTCCTTGTTCGTGCCCGGCACATTGGTTGACCACAGCTGTTCCATCAGTGTCGACCAGTTAGGTCTCTTCTCCGCTGTTACCTGGAGGTGATCAAGATACTCTTAATGCTTGTTCTTTTTTTTTTTTTTCTTTTTGTGATAAACCGGGTAAATATATAAACTATTGAACCGGCGCGGGCGGACTTAGTGACCGAAGGAATCACTGTGAGTATGAGTAGTAGTGTTTGCCGTCCGTCATGCTGCGCTCTTGAAGCAAGCAAGCAAGCAAGCAAGCAAGCAAGCAAGCAACCACCTGGCAAGCCTGTCAATGATTTCAAGTGTATGAATGGGAAGTACAGGAAGTATTCCGAGTCTCCGGTCGGTCTCTCTGTTCGGTCTCGTGATGGGGGCTGGAGGGAGGGAAGAAGGCGGTTAGTCAGGCCCGTCAGGAAGTCGGCAAGTCGGGATGAACGAATCGCCGACTTGGTTCGAGTCGAAGTGGGGACCATCACTGGAGACTAATCCCAAAAGAGACAGGTGTAGCTCCGCTCTTCACTCCTGACCGCCAATAAAGACCGGCAGAAACCGAGCATTTGCAGCCTTGCAAGGCTGGGCAAAACGATGGCTTTTCTGGCTGTTGCGGTTCACTTAGTCTCCTTCTGTGTTTAGCCTCGGGGCTAGTCTCTTTTTCTACCTAGTCGTATCTTCCTGCACGGCAGGTTTGGAGACTGTGTCGTCATGGCCTCATGGCCATGATTGGCACCATGTGGTGGTGTGTGAGAGTCTGAGAGAGTCCATTCAGTCTCAGCTGTCATCCCACAATTGTCCTCCCTCCCTATCCAAATGCATACATGCCACCTCTCACACGGGGAAGCACAAAAGAACAGTCCGTCGCAAAAGTCGGATCTGATCTGTACAGTACTTCTGGGGGGAGAAGTTTAAACATGTACCGTACAGTTACAGTAGAGTTGTGGTGGATCAGAATTGTTGGCGGGACACGATTGGAAATGTGATGGGTAATCGGATGCGAGCCCTATTGGTGTGGAGGGATACCTAGTAGTTTGGAGGTAACTTATGGGGTACTACGAAGTACCTTCTAGTAGTCTCTTTCCTGGTCGGCTTTACAGGGGAGAGGTATAGTCAAGGACTAGCTTATAGTTGTTAGCATCTTGTACATACAGAGAGTGTCTCTCTGTAGCGACATCATGACGAGATGTATGTGCAGTGTAGGTAGTATATGAACCCAGCTGTGTCCCGCCTTCATCGGCTCCTGGGATTTCATAACTCCACGACAACTACCGAGTCAGTGCAATCAATCATAACTGGAATCATAATCAGAAATAGTGGAGTCCCGCCAATTGCCAAGCCTCCTCGCCTTCGTCCGTTCCGCGACGAGTGAGTGATTCAGAGCTGTGAAGGAAGTCAGATTCAACGGATTTCCCCGCCGACCGTCGGCCTTCTTTCCCTGGCTCGTCGTCATCAGTCTTGGAAAGGCAGCAAATCTCCGAATCATATTCCTACGCCCAGCTCGTGCCCAGAACTTGGCTTGCTTCTCTTGCTTCAATTCCTCCAATTCCTCCAGTTCCTCCCTCCTCTCTGGTCGTTCCTCTCGGCTTGGGTCGGGTGCCGCTGACTTCGTTTCTGGTACCTGTTTCGCCCTCCAAAACTTACTCTCCCTCTCTCTTTCTCGTTCTTTTTTTTTTTTTCTCTCTTGTCTTGTTCTTCTCTTCTCTTTCTTCTTGTTTCTCAGACCTGTGTCTTAGCCTTCACCCTCACCTCCATCTTCCTATCCCATTCCGTGCATCCCGTATTCTTGGGGAAAGCTTCGAATTGTTTGGAGGATCTTGAACTATTCAGTTTCCAGAATCGGTAAGTCATCCTTCCTCTGCTTCTCCCAAAGCGGCAGTCTTTCCTTTGGCCGCCGCCGCCGCCCGCGCCTCTTCCCATTCCCCATTCCTCGCCCTGCGCGATCTTCCCTCTTCTTCTCCCTCTTGAGAAAACACTCGGACCAATGCTTTTTCGCTCATTCCCAATTTCTTGTTTATTTCTTTCCCTTTCCCTCGTTTCCGGAAACTAATCGCACGTTGTGCTCTCGCCCACAACAGGAATCCTCTCCTCTCCTCTCCTCTCCCTCCCATACTCTCGACCCCCCCCTTGCAGGTGACGACGCCCACGAGGCCCTCGACAGGAAACCTCCGTCTTGGGATTTTCTCCGCTTTCGCCTGTCATCGTTTCGGGCCGCATATCATTGATTTTCCAAAAGGCATGCGGAAATCCGGCGTGCGTCCACCTTAAGCGGCGGGTTTCCCCTTGTTAGAGCGCATCCAGGTCCCGATCGGCGGAAGCTCCTCCGAGATCCTCAATCATAACCTGGTTTCGCGGCGCATCGACCTTGAACGAACGAGCGCCCCCGGGGAGGAAAAGGAAATCTGGTACAACAAACAACAATAAAAACAACTATACTGGGATAGCGCTTCTCGGTCTCGTGCGCTTCCCCCGCCGTCGCAGTCATGGCGTGGGATCATTTAGATATCGATAAGCCCCATCTGGCGTACATGATCCTGGGTGGGTTTACCAGTCTGTTTATGTTATGTTCGCTCTTCGTCAAGGAGAAGCTGTACATCGGCGAAGCCACCGTTGCCACTCTATGTGGTATCATCTTCGGGCCTCATGCGGCCAACCTCTTCAACCCCATGTCCTGGGGCAATGTCGACAAGATCACGCTGGAATGCTCGCGCATCGTCCTGGTTGTCCAGTGCTTTGCCGTCGGAGTCGAATTGCCCAAGGCCTACATGGAACGCCACTGGAAATCGGTGTTTTTGCTGCTGGTACCCGTCATGACCTGGGGCTGGCTAATCACGAGCCTGTTCATCTGGTGGATGGTGCCGCCTCTCTCGTGGCTCGAGAGTCTGATCTGCGCCTCCTGTGTCACCGCCACCGACCCCGTTCTCGCCTCTTCGGTCGTCGGTAAAGGTAAATTCGCTCGCCGAGTGCCCAAGCACTTGCGAGACCTCTTGTCCGCCGAGTCCGGCTGCAACGACGGCATGGCCTTCCCGTTCATTTATCTGGGGTACTACATCTGGCGCTACCGCCCCCATGCGGGCGAGGTGTCGCTGCATTGGTTCTGTGTAACCATCCTGTACGAGTGTATTTTTGGTGCGGTCTACGGGTTTATCATTGGGTATCTGGCCCGGCACGCGATCAAACTCGCCGAAAGGAAGGGGCTCATCGATCGTGAAAGTTTCCTGGTCTTCTACTTTGTGCTCGCCGTCTTCTGCGCCGGCTCGGGCAGTCTACTGGGCATGGACGACCTCCTGATCGGCTTTGCCGCCGGTGTGGGCTTTAGTAATGACGGATGGTTTACGGAGAAGACAGAGGAGTCCCACGTGTCCAACGTCATCGATTTGCTACTCAACTTGGCTTACTTTGTGTATTTTGGATCGATCATTCCCTGGGAGGACTACAACAACCCATCGATTGGTCTGCAGCCCTGGCGACTGGTTGTGATAGCGATCTTGGTCATCTTCTTCCGTCGCATTCCGATCATGCTGATATTGAAACCGATTATACCCGATGTGAAAACATGGCGCGAGGCATTGTTCGCTGGCCATTTCGGGCCGATTGGCGTCGGCGCGATCTTTGCGTCGATCTTAGCACGGGCCGAACTGGAGGGACATGGCACCAGTCCATTAGGGGAATCAGAGCTTCCGGCGGCTGGTTCTTCGAATTACTATATCGTTCAGCTCATTTGGCCAATTACGACCTTCATGGTCATTTCCTCGATTTTGGTTCACGGCTCCTCTATCGCCGTCTTTACTCTCGGCAAGCGGATCAACACCCTGACCATCACGTTGTCCTACACCACCGCCAACGAAGAGGGTCCCTCCTGGATGAATCGTCTGCCGCGGGTGCAATCCCTCGCCAAGGGTTCTATGTCCTTCCGCAAACCGGATGAGGATGAATCCTCCAACGAACCCGATTATCCTCCGGGTACACTGCCTCCGATTGGAGTTCCGGGTAACTTCTTGCGTCGTCAGAAGGAAGACGAAACGGACCCGGCACGTGCCCGATCGACGAGTAGGACCCGCAGAAGACGCCGCAGACGCAACGATGGAGCGGGTGGTCCCATCAGCCAGTCGGCCATCGCGCCTCAGCGAACCGCAGATATTGAGAAATCCGAGAAGCAGGAAGAGGAACGCGAAGAGGAGGAAGAACGCGATAGAATCGAACGGGAATCCTCTCCTCCTAACCGGGAGCGCGATCGCTTCGGCCAAGAGCCCGTCATGGAAGTATACCTGGAGGGTCATAACATGATCATGGAGGATGAAGAGGGTAACGTTCTGAAGGTCCAAGACGTCAGTCACATGTCCGCAGAAGAGCAGAAACAACACATCGAGGAACAGCGGCAGAAGTTACAACAGAATTCAGCCGAGTTTGCTCCCTCTCGCTCACATCCCCACGAGAAGGACGAAGGCGAGGAAATCGAGAAGACCTTGGAAGAAAAGGCCGAACGTTCTGTCGAAAAGACTCGGAAGATGATTGGTAACTGGATGAAATTCGGCAAGGGCGGCGATCGTGTCCAGGTGCCCGTTCACACCGAGGAGGAAAAGGCTGCAGCCAAGCGCAAGGCCGAGAAAGAAGTTCACAAGCGCAAGGGCAAAGGCCGCTCCGCTCATGCGTACCAGTTTGGCAACACGATTATCGTTGAGGACGAAGATGGCGAGGTCATCAAGAAGTACTCGATCCCCGCGAAAGAAAAGCCCAAGCCTGAGGGTAACGCTCCGGTTCGACGAGGACTGACCCGGATGGGTACCTGGTTCGGCATGGAGGAAGAGGGTGAAAGCTCGCAAGCGGCCCGCAAGGCGGCGCAGGACGAATGGCTGGCAGATGACGGTCTGCGTTTCACCTTGGCTGACGATGGCGACGTCGGAAAGCGCGGCATCGAACACAAGGGTCGTCGCATGACCAAGCATGAATTCGCTCAACAGATCCGCAACCTGGGCCCCAAGGCTCGTCGCGATGTGGTGGAGGAAACCGATGCCCCGGAGCGGGTGAAGGACGTTGCGCGCCAGGAAGCCGAGAAGGCGGAGGAGCAAGAGCAAGAGCGCCGCAAGTCGGATCCCGGTGTTGCACCCTCAGTCCCCGTTTTCGACGATGATTCCGAATCCGAGACTGACCTCAGCGACGATGAATCGGGCCATGGGGTTCCCGGCGACAACGTCGCCGCCTCTCTGGCCCGGTTCAGTCGTGGTACCGCCGCCGATGAGCGGCGCTCCCGCCACCTGAGTCCGAAATCATCGTCTCCGAAGACGCAAGCTCGATCGCGCAGAGATTCCGAGGATGACGGCACCGAGCGTGTGCCGCCCGCTCAATTGCGCGAAGCGGCTGGCCTCGCCCGTCCGCCTCAGCAGGCCGATGACGATACGGGCGAAACGCCCGCCGAGCGACGGCGTCGTTTGGCTGCACTGGGTGAAATCAACAACTCGGACGATTCGGATGACTCCGATACTCCGGTGGATGATGCGGATGAATCCGACAGCGAGAACAACGGCCCAAACCATAGCAGGGTGCAGTTCGCCGATGGCACCAAGGACAGTCGCCAGCAGTCATTCAACGGTGGTAGCTCGGGTGAAGCCCAGGATACGGGTTCGACCTACTCGCGCCACAGCCGCAGTGCCAGCCGTCGCAGCATTTCCTGGGGAGGTGAGAAAGGACGAGAGACATGATCAACAATAAAGAAAAGAAGAGCGGAAGGTGAGAGAGGGGTTGTTGTTCACTGGTCATAGAGAGGGGGGAGGGCGGGTTTGGAAAAAAGGGGGGAGACGAAGTCGGTGAACGGACCCCGAGGGATCCACGCTCCACATTGCTGCTTGCGCGTGCTGCCTGAGAACCAAAAGAGCAGGAGACGAGATGAGACGAGATGGCCTGGCTTGATTCCCATGCATTGAGCGAGCATTGGGTTGCATGTATGCATTCGTGTGATGATGTTTCTTTCCTGCCTCTTTCCTTTCTTGTGTATAGAGCAAGAGTCACTTGTTTTTTATGTGTAACTTACTTCCTACCCGGTTGATCCGGACTTACTCAGGACGGGGGGAGTTTCGACCTGCAATTAGAGGGTTGATTTCCGATGTGATGAGTATGGAGTACATAGATAATTGCATAATGATATTGTTTGGCTACTGGCGTCTTGTATGAATGGAGTGACTATACTTATGCTGCAGATTTGTGGTCTAAATCTTCATCTTCGAGGCGACAGATGGTAGGTCAGAAAACCTTTGCCCATATCAACCCATGAGTCCACCCACTTGTACCAGCGATCCTTCATAATGAGTCGATCAGAACCTTCGTAAATGCAAAGATCTCAACGAAAACACTGGCACTAATCCTAACACCTGGTCTACGCTTCTACCCTGTCAGTATCAGCGGGTTTGTTGTTGTATGGCTTGCAGATAGGGTTGTGGACTTGTCGTCAGTAGGAGATACATCGACCTGGGTCAGTCGTGCATAGATGTACCGGCGTGTGAAATGGGTGGATGCGTCGGTGCTTAAACAGAATTGGCGGGTTAGATTGCTGAGCCCATATGCTTGCTCATCGACCGTTTGGGTCCCTGCTGGTATGATTGACGGGATCAATGCCCCTGCTGGAATGTGTGCGCGATAGACCACGGATTCCTCTCATGCTCATGGAGAGGTGGAATGACTGGTCACCTGACCGAGTGCAGTCTCGAGCACCGCCGCTGACTTGCGTGATGTGTCTGCTGGCCAGCATGGAGAACCTCAACCCCCATGATGATGGTACTGGGCTGTGATGGCTGTGGCGGTATGGCTTTTGTCTCCACGCTGGTTCATCCCGTCCCGAGAACGAAAACACCCTGGTCATTCGTTGACTTTGGTCCCTTCGGATTCTTTCTTTGGAGTGCCTTTCACTTCGCCGGCTGGGATCGTGGGTTTCAGAATCCATCGAACATGAGAGCACGGAGGTGCTGGCTGATTTTGAGTAGTCGCGGGGCAGATGGATGTGAAAGAATGGCGAGCAGGTATGGACGCGAAGATCTTGCTGCCGCAAAGTATTGGGGAAACTCGTCTCGGAGGAGAGATAGACCCCATCCCCCTGGTCTAGACCTTGCCCGGTGGTTTTCCATAGCCGGCCTGCCACTCGTCGTATTGCTCCAACTCAGCCTTCGCCAAATTCTCGAGATCCTCGTCGGGTAGATGTGGCGATCAGGCATATGAAGGAAGCATACTTTCATTAGAGACTATGGAAGGAAGGATCTATCTAGTAGTGTCACGTCACATGACTGTTGCACGTGACAGTAGATTCAGAGCTGCACGGAGGGCCTCAATCTCCCAGCCTATGACTGCCTGTTGCCACTTTCCTGCGTCTTCATCAAAAGCCTCGAGTGCTGCTTCGGCCTCGCTGATCCATTCTGGAATCAGTTTCAGGACTTGGCTTTTTGATGATGTTGTGCTTGGTTTTGAAGTCAGGCAAAGTGTCATATGATTCGAGACTGTGTTTGGGGATGTTCTTGCCATATTGGTTGACAATGCGATGAAGGTTTGCCTTGATCTGCAGTTGGTAAAAAATATGAAAAATCGAGTTGTCGTAAATCATACCGTGTCTGTAGGTGTGTGCTTGACCCTGCATCCAACCAATTGCGAACTTTGGGAGCTTCGGCTCGTTGTAGATTGGGGGTAGGGGAGGTGGTGGAAAATGCCCTGTTCCTTGCTAACTATGCTACATACAAATAGTCCTGAAGGACGGTGAGGTAGACAGTAGCCACCTGCCGTACCATCCCATCCGCACCATCGGTAACAGTGCCCCCCTTTTGAGACTGGCGTCCTCGTCAGTAATTATTCGCGTTAACTATTAATAAACGGTCGAACAGACTGAATGGCTTCATTTTGACTGATTAGCCAGTCGTCGAGTTAATCCAGAATGGCGTCGTACTCGGCTAGTCTGGCTTATTCGACTTAATCAACAAATTCAGCGGCGACGCGGTTGCGTTTAACAGCGGCATTATCGCATTCGGTAGTCATACTGTCGCGCTCGATAATCAGACGGTTATGCTCGGCAGCGAGATCATCGCGTTCGGTGATCAAATGGTCTCGCTCGGCAGTAGGATTGTTGTTACTTCTTACGCTTCCTCTTAAGGGCCTTCTATACTCTTCTGCAGTCATTCTGCCACTTGTCACGGTCGGTGGTGACTGTGGCGACGTTCTTAATCAGTTGGTCGCGCTCTGATATAACCTACCTGCTTTATAGCCTCCGATTCCTTGGCGAGGTCTATCTCTAATGTTTTGATTTTGGATTTGCTCTCCTTACGCGCGCGCATAGTATCAACCTTTATCGCCTCGATCTCGGCATTGTCGGTGGCAGCCGGGTTCGGATTGACGGCATCACTGGTTGGGGCATCGCTGATTCCAGTTTCTTTGAGGGCGGCAAGTTCCTTCCTCAACTCAGTGTTCTTGTGTAATAGTTCTCTCCTTTCCTCACTTTCTTCGTCGAGGTCGAGCCTTAGACGCTGAAGACGCCCGAGCGAGGATGGAATCATGAAGCTATCGGTAAGAGCGTGTGGAAAGATAAAGGTGACTGGCTGGATTGATCCTCAATATGAGGCTATTCATATGGTTGACTACAAAGGAAGAGAAGAGAGAGGGAGAAGAAGGAGGAGGAGGAGGAGGAGGAGGGAGAGGAGGATATCCCCCACCAGGCCACCGCTTGCCCAATAAAAGAAGGCACCACCTCCTGCCCAGTGGACCCTTGCACTTGCTGCCTCAACGCCTAAGTGCTGAGGAAGCAGATCAGACTACTAGGTACCTAGTAAGTACAAGGGCGGCCGCAGACGGTGAGCTGCCCAGCCAATGGGAGGTTGGGCCTCCACACTTGTCTCCCCGAGTCGCAGCTCAGAGGCATTCTATCTGAGCCAGATGTTCCATCCCTGTTTATCAACGAGAAGCGTTGAAACGGTGGGCAGGGCGTCTGGGAGCTTGTCCGACAAGACTTTGTGTCCTTGTTTGTACTGAGTGTTGTGTTCGATGGCGTCTCCACCGGCACCAGCTTCCTCGCCGTTCATCTTGGCGTGTGTCAGGCGTTCCGTCACGGCCCCCAATCGGGTGGTCGCGTTGCTCTCAGGCTCCCAACGTGCCTGAGGTCTCTGGAATCGGGGAAATCGGGGAAGTCGTCACGAACGACGTACTTTTGATGGTTATGAAGTTTTTTTTGGATGATATTGACGCTGTGGGAGGTAGACAGGGTCGCGTCAAGCGGAGGGCTCATAACCTGATGAGAGCGTGAAAGACGAGTGGATTGGGCTGTCTGGCATAACTTATGGCCTTAGAATGGCGACGAAGAACGAACGTGGTTATGATTTGTCCAATTCATTTCTGCATATGCTATGACGGCCTTCTTCCGTACTTGCACGTTCCTCCAAGAGCGTGTCGTTGTTATGGGGGAGGTTTTCGCGAAGGGGATGACCTCTAAACAGCCATAGCATGTGTGACTGTGCAACTCGGCCACCACAAAGGACATGATAGGCTTTGTACTGGGCGAAGAGATCAACAGTCTCGAAGCTTGAGAATGATCAATCGGCCCTGAGGAATGTATTCGGTCTCGAACTCTTCTTCGAAGTCGAAGTCAGTAGGAGGCTTGCTGAGAAGTTCATTCTTTTGGAGAGACTTGATGGCTAGGTATAGCCAAGCGTCCGAGAATCTTACTCCATATGGAGAGATGTGATGAACCGTGTCGCTTCTCTTCTATACATGCCTTGCCGCCATCTTCGGTACTTTCTGGGTCGTGTGAATTGCGGATTACAATCGGTCTCATTATGCTCGTGGTTCAATGCGGCAGTGCCCCAGATACACGATCAGGTCAACCTCGGGGTCTATTGGCACAAGCGGGCCATGACCCCAGTATTAATGCTCCCACTGCCTTTGCCGAAGACGCTTGCACCTATCCTGGCGGAACTTGTGACAGCTTGAAGATGTGTATCCGTGTGTAGCCAGCGGATACGTGGTCTCTCCAAGGTGGAAGTGGTGAAGTCCGAGGTCACGCGACCAGAGATATCTCACAGAACTGAGCTCGTCAGTGACAGAATCTTTCTCCAGATGGTGACTGACTTACTGGGCAAGGATAGCCGAAAGCAATTGCTGATTTAATGTGCCATGTCATCGGTGAGAATGCTCACCGCGGGCTGATGAACCTGTAGTATGGTGCGAGCTCTGTCCTCGATGGGAATGCCATCATGGCCCGGGCGCTCTTAGTGCGTCGAGCTGCTCTTTCAATTCCTCAAAGTTCTCGTTGATCTCGCGATACCAATTTGTTTCAACGGTTTTGTATATGTCATATGTGACGAACTTGTACGCTAGGTACTAGTCGGTCCGACGTCCGCTTGCCAGAATCTTCTGCTTCTCAGCGATAAGCTGTTAACAGCAGGATTGTCTACCCATAGTCAAAGATTTGTCGTCCTTCTGTGCAACTCCATGCTCACGAAAGTGATCGTAACCTCAAGCAAAGAGTGTCGGTAAAGGCCTCTTTTCCCTTCAGAAGCATAGTACCCACCACATTTGTGTTCGACAGGGATTGTGTGTGCTGGAAGTGGTCACGCAATGCATACACCTAAGTACCATCGGCGGCCACTGTGGTTTCTAGGGCTCTAAGGTTCCACGTAGGCGCCAACAGTGGAGCGGTGACCCGGCTCATTGCTCAGCGACAGGCTCATACCAGTTCGATCAGCACCAGCGTCGGTCATCCTGCTCATCCTTGGGCCTTAGCAGCCTTGTAACATGAGCTGCAAAGTGGTTTTCTGGATGAACATGCCAACCTGGGTCAGGCCAAAGGTTCTCTGTCTACAATGTTCTCTCACGCTTGAGTCCCATTGCGGGCTTCTTTGTGGTCCACACCCAAAATCACTATTGGACACTCACTTAGAGCTCTCCAAAATCCCAATCTGGTAACAACAAATCGTTTTGACGCCACGCCGAGGAACCTTGCGTTCGATCGTGTCCAGGATTCCACCTGAAGAAGATTGGGTCCGACGGAGTGCAGGGGGTGTGCACAGGATTGAGGTTTCACAAAACGTGGATCGAGTATCTCTACCGCTATGTTGTTGATGCCCTGCTGGTGTAAGTAAGGACGTCTCGTACAAGCCCAATCCCATGGTTGACCGAGGTGCTCTTTGGTGGCCAGGATCTTGTAGGTGAACTTGGGCGCACTGCTGCTATCGTGCACTGATCTGCGGTTGTAGAAGAGGATTTTTCTGATTGGTACTCGGCTATCTTTGCTGGTATTTCTTCGCTTAGAGCATCCATTAATTACATGTCGACATCTATATGATCAGAAAACATTAGTATAAACCGTCTGTAAAAGGGTTTCAGCTTGCCAGGACACCAGACCCCAGTCAATTATATCATCTATAAAATCATCCCCATCCTGCTCAGAAGTATTTAGTGGCAGGTTTTTAGGGTCAGCAGATTTGTAACACGTAGAACTTAGAGTGGACGCCATCAAGTCTTCGCAAAGAGACTTTTGGTGTTTTGTCTATAGGCTTACTTGGCAAGCCTGATGTGTCCGTCTTCCGAGTGAGGATGGTATCCCTTGATTGGCTAATTGTTGAGAATGCGCTGTATCTGATGACACCTGCGAGAAAGGTGGAAGATTGATGAATTCTGACTACGTCAGGCTAACTGCGAGAACCAGCTAATGCCACCGAGATGGACGGTGAGCGAGCAGCCTCAGGCAAGGCCGCAGGGCCGCCGTCAGGATTCATTGGTTGATGGCTCACTTTCCAGTCACGTATCAAGAAAGCTCATCAGGCGATCAACAACATTTACCCACGAGCGCGCCAAGGGCCCGACCGGTGTATACCGCGATGAAACCATTTTGGGGCCCTGTGACTTGGGAAAACCCTTAGCATCGAGAGCCGTCGGGTATCCGAGAAAGATATACCCAGGGTGCAATACGCACGCCAGTCTTTCTCAAGGTCTCTACAATAGCAGATGGCTTTGTAGAGAGTCTCACACGGCCGTCATTCTGTTGTTCTTGATGGTGGCAAGGGTCTGATTTTCGGGATGGGTAATAATGCTGCAGGTGAAGCCCAATAGGCGAATGCCTACTTCGAGGAAGAGGTCAAGACTCTTTAATATCTCCGCTCCCAGCTCAATTTCGTCGAGGATGTGAATCAGGCGGAAAGCTTGTTGCTTATCAGTGGCGCGGTGTTGCCTGTTTGGAGGGTTTCTGTGACATCCGTCATGAGATATCTTTTGCCGTCGTCAATCTTGACGAAATCGCTGTCCACCCAAAGCCGCTTTGGAGCATGGTAGACACAGTATCCCTCAATCCATGAGGGGCGCGGCCGGTGGATGGGGGCGGTTGCATTTCGGATTATCCGGGGACGCTCTGGATCGAGATGTGGCGCATCAGGCTTATGTTTAATGTAGCTGCCGTGGTCTATCAACCGGCTCGACAACAACCTCAGAGCAGCAAATCATCTTCCGGAGCCTCTGATTGAATCTCCCCTGCAGCCCGGTCTCATCTCCGAAGAAGACGTGGATCCGTCCAGTTATATCCTTTCAGTATGGTTCTTTCGAACTGGAAAGTACACTTTGCGCCCGAATGTGCGCCATGGCGGCGCTGTGCTTTGCAATATGTTATGACAGTATACTGTGCCCTGGGGTCGTCCTATCTAGCCCTACAGTCTCAATGCTGCCGGCACCAGGAATTAAATAAGCTTGGTCTTTCCATGGTCCTCAGCTTTGGCATTGCCGTGGCGCTTTCTCTGGAACTACCGTATCTAACCGGCGGCCGGAGACGGTGAGCTGCCCAGCCAATGGGAGGCCAGGCCCTCCACAAGTCCCTTGTCACGTATACTGGTAACTTACTGTATACTAGGTAGTTTAGTAACTAAGTACCTAGGTAGTTGGCAAGCAGTTTACTTACTAGTGGCATCGTCAACTTGTCTCTGGGAGGCACGCCCTCCCTTATTTCCCGCCTTGCCGACAAAGTCTTCATGGGTATGGAGGTGGGAGTAGAGATTGTTGGTGGACGAGTACTGCTTCTTTTCAAGTAGTTAGTAAGCGGTTGGCAAGTAGTTGAAAAGTAGTTGAAAAGTAATAAAAGATTTAACCTACGGTGCTCTTAGAGCAGTTGTCCATCCGACAAAAACCTTCCCCATGGTGTATGATGTGCTCAAGGTTCGAGTTCTAAGTAGTTGCCCAACAGTTGGCAAGTAGTTAGCAACCACTTTCCAAGTATCCAAATAAAAGTTGAGTGAGGGTCGAGTGAGGTGACACTCACCTGGTCGGGGGAGGGAAGGGAGAGCTGCCCGGAGGCTGCAGTACGCAAGTACTACTTGTAGTACTTCTATTTACAAGTAGTTGACAAGGACTTTACCTACTGGTGGCATCATCAATCAATCTGTAATTGTGAGGCAGGTCCCCCTTTGTTTTCAGTCTTCCACACAAATTCCTCATGTGTTTGTGAATGCGAATGCAGATTGTCAGTTGAGGAGTTGCTTCTTTCCAACTAGTTAGCAATTACCTCAAATCAGAGTTGGAAGAGATATTGGCCTGCCAACCAGCAACTCACAAGATGGCGATATACCCGTGCTTGTCCACGCGAATGCGAAAGGTTTGGTCCATGACAACGGGCCCAACACCTGATACTGGCGTTATCGCTTCCTGTGAGCTTTGAGCAGGATGTTGATGCAGCTGGCATCGACATATTGAAGGCTCTCATCCGGAGTCGCTGTAGGGTCAGAGAAACTTCGGACAGCTCGAGCTCTTTTGGAAATTCGTCAAAGTACATGCTATATCGAGGAATATCTGTGCGAATATATGGCCTTCGCTCACTGTCGACATTAATGATCTCCGGAATTCTGGCGCTTTCAATCCGAAGAGATTTCCCTGAACGTCCACATGAGCTAAGGGCTTCCGGGGAGGGGTGGTCAGAGAGTCCGCATTTCCGAAGCAGCTGCATATCGCCATTTTCTGTGACCGGCTGGCAAGCGGGCTCAACATGGATGCGGTTAGCTGGAGCACTTTGTAGGAACAGGCAACAGGAATGGTTGCATACCCACACGAAACAACTCTCGACGAATGCTGCGCATGATTCAATAGGCCACGAGCTCGCCATATGGGTGAGTGCTTGGAGCGAACCCACCCAGCTCCCAATAAGGGGTGCTCAGACAATCGTCCGGTTTACAAGACCCCTTATGCATCGCGTCGATGTCCGTGGCTGCGAAGTTCGCAGGCGGCTTGCGACCTCTGACATTCAGAAGGAACAACAGCGCTTGGGGACCCAACAAATCCTCCTGGTTGATATATGGCCACATTTAGCAGGCACAGTACCATGTATCCCTGTCCCGATTAGCATTTGCTTGTTCGAGCGACGAATGACCCACGTCCAGCTTTGCAGTAGGTACAGGGTGCCTGCTTTTCATGAGAGGAATGTGGTAGATAGTCTTGATAGTGTTGCAATCAGCATCGGTCGCTATTGCTCAGTCCAACAGTTATGCCATTTCCTTAACCATGATTATAGCATCTCCATGCTTTGTGAAAACAAGGTCCTTTCTCACTACCGGTGCGGGATCCCATACTTGAAAACCACGTCCCTGATGTCGCTGAGCACAACAGAAAAAAGGGGGACTGTTGCAGAGACATGGTGCATATAAGAACAATACAGCATCGGTCTCGATCTAAAAACAAAAAGAAAAGAGTTGAATCAGCCAGGTTCTCAGAAGTGATTTCAGAAATAGAATGTACTGTACCTGCAGTAATAGTCTAGTGGATGGCCAGCTGGTAACTTAGGACTTGTCACCCCACTGGGCCGATGATGGATTGGTTGGTTTACTCCCAGATCTGTTGCTGTGATTGTACTGTCCCCGGCCTCCTCCTTACTCGCAGTCGGATATAGATATAGAATACACCCCAGCAGTGACTTCCATTCATCTGCCTTCGATGTCTTTCTCCGAGTGAGCATTCCATCCTTGCTGAATGTTCCGTGAACCCTGAGAAGGCATTCTGGATGTCGTCGACGGATTTCTTTTTGAGGTGCACTTCTGGTCAAGGCATGTATATGGCATATCGTCATTGCAGACGAGATTCATGGAGTTACTTCCTCGACTCAAATGACCGGACGCTGAAGAATTGCGAGTTTAGGCTCATGTGCTTTATCTTGGATGTTGAGGTAGGGTTTAACTTGGCCAATAGGTAGGCCTCCTGCGGATCGGAGCTGAGCCCCTCGTGGTGCTCCTGCTCTAAGACCGCCTGGTCTTTTGTTTCATTTGTGATCCCTCTAGCCTGGGAAGTGGGCAGTGCTCGGTCCAGCAGTCTTGACAGCTCCTTCATCATGGCTATGGCATCTCGGTGTTTTGTGAAAATAATGTCTCCTCTCGCTACTAGGGCTGTGAAACCATACTTCGAAACCACTTACCTGATGTCGGCAAGCATTACGGGAGGAGCGGGGCTGTTTCGGAGACGTGGTGCAGAGGAAGGTGGTATTTGGCCGGCCTCGATCTAGACAGAACGGGCTGGATTAGCCAGGGTCGTACGATGACACTGTACCGGTTCCAAGGATAGTTCGCCCTTGTCGCCGGATCAGACACGTACTGGTTGAAATGTGCAGAGGGACAAATAGTGGGCCTGATTGTTACCTCACGCATAGGTCTCAATCTATCGAATAAGACATTCCGCGTTCCAAGCCATTCGACGACGAAGGGATCGTTGAAGACGTTTTCAGTCATTCGACCCGAAACCCTGGCTTCTGTTGCTACGATGTACTGAAGACCTCGTCCGCGTATACCAGATCTGGAAAATGGTTGAGATACTCTTCTATCCACGGACGAGACAGTATATCCGTCAATCAACCGCGCAGCGAGCCGGACTATTGCTCCCATGTGTCGAAATGTTGACCATATGCTCAGAGGATGAATGGAGTCTGCGGGAATAGGGGTTCATTTGGCGATAGATACCACCAACAAGGACATAGACCCTGAAGCTCCCCTTCCCCTTGTATAGTATGTGGCTCTGGCATATGCGCTCGCTATGTGCCACAAGCTGTCGAGAAGCCATTTGGCTGAGGGGCTCGTAGGAGACCGAGAGGCCGCTAGGATGCTTGGAGAAGTCATCGGGGTTGCTCGTGTCTCATGCCCCAGCTGAGATCTGGTCCTGCAGCTCCGTGAAGGACGCGTGCGACAAGTTGCCCCCGCCACGTCCACTTGACGATATGAGATATCTGATCGGGTGCACAAGAGGAGGCTGAGTTTTGTGTGGTCGAGACTGCGCATTCAGTGGAAGGGTCCTGGGCCGGCATCAATGGGAGGCCTTGAACGCGTCGCCACTACTTCCAAACTTTGTTTACGAGCAGCTTTCGCTTTTCTGGTTGCCAGTTTGGATACTGCGGGGACTGATAAAGCTGTGTTCATGCATGACGATGATGTTTCCAGTCGCATCTTTCGCTACGCAGGCAAGCATAAGATTGTTGTACTTCCCCTCCACTCACCCGGTAGTATTACCAAGTCTATGTAGCCGGTGTTCGCATGGTGGAGAAGCAACGGTGGCAAGCCTAGTGAAACAGTCCGATTAAGCTTTGAAGTCTCCTTGATGCGGGATTCCAATCTTTGGAAAGCAGGAGTATTTTGCTGCTGGATGGTAGACTTTTCTGTGACAATAGCAGCCTCAAGATCACGGCGGCTTGGATAGTCGACTCGGGGGACTTCGCGAAATTCCGAGTCGTGAAGATTGGCCGGCTTATTTTCCCGGCGGTCGAGACCTTGTTTTAGCCCAAGGGTTATTAGTATATCTTTGACTTCAAGATAGAGGGATACCTAGAACTAACCCTGTTTGGCCCCATGGATCTGTATGAGCGACTCCCTATGCTGAGGGGGTGGATAGATGCAATGGAAACATGTGAAAATGACTACATCAAGGTATTAGCACAAAAGAGTTTGGAGATTGGGATCATGAATTCGGAGATAGCCTACCGTGCCATGACCTGTAGCCCGGTCCACAAGGCGGATAAGGGCCAAATCCATAATCGGAGGACGCGTCGACCCTGGAGCGTTAAGTTTGGTGGCATAACCTGGTTTGACTGGATCGTGGGGCATTCGATTTTCTTTGTGGAATGTAGGCTTTGCACCACCATTGGGAGGCCGGTGTCCGCAGAAATGGCCTTGACATCATGTCTTCAGTGGTAATTGCGATCAATTCTGGAACACCACGTTCTCTTCTTGATAGACCTCGGTGACCTTAATACTACTCGAACTTTGCTTTCTCCACTCGCTGTGGAATCTCAAATGCAATCGGCTCAAGGTCTTGGAGATTTCCCCCTTTGGGTCAGGCCCGGTGCTTGCCTTCAGCTCGGAGCTTATAGACAAGGGTGGCACAACCACCAGATGGTTCAGAGCGCCATGGAAGTTTACCTGCACTGAAAGACATACATCGAAATTGTCACTCCACACAGCTGGACATTGTGTGCAATCTCAAAAAATTGGTGCAGTCAACAGATGCCTTCATGATTAAGACTTTCTCCTCCTGTTGAGAAGTTGAGAACTTTCATTTCAGTCGAGCATCGCAGACTGTCTTGCCTCCTCAGCCCGTGTCTTGACAGACACAAAAGCAAAACCCATCTGAGACAAGGGAACATGAGTTTGTGGATAGCTCCGGCTTCTTCCATAGACCCAAGAGCCTACCATCGATCGGCGCTGCTATTCAATCTTGGTTCGGCTTCTGGGTATAGCATGTGGCCTGTGTGAAATGTCGTTGCTTGACATGCCGATTCCCAGCGAGGGCTGACCATCCCCCAAGTTCTCCTTCGCCATCCCGAAGATATCGGAAACGGAGTGCCTGAAGTCTCGTGTCCCCGAAGAGTAATGTTTGCTAAGGGGTAGGAGCAGACGCTGGGTCTCGGTCTCTCGTGCACAAGCAGTGCACTCGGCGTCATCCTCTGAGCGAGTCCGCCTCGACACCTGACCTGCTATAAACTCCCGAGCAGCAATCAAGCTGCATTCATTCCTCTTCAGGTGCTTCTGGGAGGCGGTAGATTCATTCAGGGGCCAATGATCAGCTCGCATGACCGGAATAGAGGCCCTGTGTGATATTAATCAGGATGTACCTGCCTCAGGAGTATTATAAAAATACAATCCAGAACGTACAGGGACTTAAAGATTTTAATTGTTTTCGGCCAAGTTGCAGTGGCTAGATCGCGCTTCGCGCTGCCCAAAAAGACTAACTGGCACAATCAGCCGTAGCACATTTTGGGATGCATGCAACGATTGACCCTTTCCCGAATGTCCGTCGATTTGACGGAGACATTGCCTTGTTTGCTATTCGTGGTTGCTAGTGTATGGACGGCTATATGACTCTCGTTCCACGCTGTAATCCGCATGAAAGGGAGAGTAGTTTTGCAAGACATTGAGCCAGACGTTGTCCACTACTAGCTCATATGGGATATATCCATTCTGCGCATAATGCAGATGGTCCATATACATGCGGATCACCTCCCCTCCGTAGAATCGGAGTCTCCACCCTCCACCAGGAGACCGGATACATTGCCAATGTGCTTCTCACACGCATTTTGAAGATCAGTTTGCTGGAAGTGGTGGTCGTCGAAGCTACGCGGTCTCCGCGTAACTGTAGGTTTGGCTGGGAGGTTCGATGTTATACTTGGCATCTTCGGGGAAGGTAGACGTGCACTCATGCTGCCATAAACGAAGTTTGAGCTTTGACAACATCCCGATGGGTATACAATGCGGATGTCATAGATATCGTCAACCAGCTACTGTAGTCTATTTGACAATGGTAGCGACTGGCTTATCCTTGTGCCCATACACTTGAAGACTGAACATGTTAAGTAGCGTCGTTCTATGAGGGCGATGGCAAGACTATGAGTACCGAAAGCATTCGCAGAGACCGCAGCTGGCTTCGGGATATTCCAGGACTTTCGATGTTATCCCTTTAAATGTGCTGAGCAGCAGTAGCCACTCACCAGACTGCCATCGTACAAGATCGTGTTGAGCCGGCGTTTAAAGTGCTGCTGGTTCCATTGCGCAATTCTCCGGCGTATGGTCCCCCACTGGTTGTTGCAGGGGGCACTCACCAGGCAATCACTGTAGAGGACCTTGCTAGTCATCTGAGCAATATCTTGGGGCATGCCAGCGAGAGCCAAGCGAGCAACAAGCGAAATCGCCAACGGCTTCGTAGCGGATTTGCCGCCTCCGGGGAGGTGATTGTCGGGCGCAGTTGGTAATGATCAGGCTGGTATAGAGCGAGCACTGGCCACATCTCTGGCTGCGAAGCCTCAACCGCTTCTTCTACCGCCATCACAGGAAATGTGAGAAAGCCCGCCGGTGCCTTTCTCGCGCTGGCCGTTTCACTCGGTCTCCATGGCCTTCTGCCAGTTGGGCCACTAGGGGGAGGCTTTGGTAGCGACATACGTCTTCGGAATAAGGACCTCGCTGACGTGGGTCGGTGTTGCACTGTGCGACTGGAAAACGCCTTCGAAGCCTGGCCACTCGTACGCGACGCTTTTGTTGGAACGATCCGAGACTCGTGACGGCTCCGTCCCGCAGTTCTTGCGAGGTCGCCTTCTTGCCTCGGGCTGCACATCTGGCGCCGCAGCCGCCGGCGAGACGTACGAGGCGTGCGGGGCGTCGCCGGCCTATACTTGGCATAATCTGCCTTATAGCACTTGACATGATCTGCCTTGTAGTACTCGGCCAACCGCTCTGCCTCGTCCGCCTCGCCGGCAGCTGCGGCCCGCATCAGCGCGACGACAACGTCTTCGAGCGCGTTGTCAACCAACGACTGCGCAAAAAGGTCAGCACACGACCAAGACTAGCGGGAATTGGGGGGAACTTACGGGCGTGCACTCGTTGGGACCGCGTTTGTACCTGCGGCACCGCAAGCAGTAGGTCTCTCCCGCCGCCGCAGCGACGAGAGAGCACGCCAACCCTGCTTACGTACAGTACAATAATGACAGGCTCGCAGGCACTCCTCACGTGTGGGAGGGGGATGGGAGCGTCGTCGGTGGCGGCGGTGGCCAGCCCCTGGCCCCCGTCTCCATAGCATAGGGACCAGTCGATGTTCCCCTCGAGCTGGACACGTTCTATGTCTGATGCGTTCGTTCGGTTCAACTCCTCCGCTGTGTCGATAAACGGCGGATACGATGTCCACTAGGCCGAGCCTGCGATTAGCTTCATCAACCAGAAATCAGGATATGATGATGGACTGATGGAAACGGCTTCTCAGCTGGAAATAACATAGACAGTGGAAACGTACAGACTAGAACTAGCGAGGCTTTGATGGAGCCTCCGCTGTGCTGTCACAGTAACTGCAAGGTGTGCTCACAGGAGGCAGTGGAGGTCCAGAAATTGTGGGCCTGGAACCGCGGGGGCTGCCACAATATTCGTCATTGAAGATTGCTGCACGCAGCCCCACAGGCCCAGGTGACGGTCCGCGGGGGGAGGACAGCGGCGACGATGGTCTTTACTCTGTCTTGATAGACAGACCAGAGGGAGAGGGTTTCCTCCCGGCGGCTCAGTATAGGTTGCAACCGAGGAAAAGTGGTGGGAATGGTAATGATAGAGGGATTGGCTTGTGAGTCGCTTGTTTGAGGAACTGTCGGATCGACACCTCTGATGGTCTTGCTTGAGTGGTGACGGTGGTGGCGATGATGAAAGTGATGCTGAAAGTGATGATCATAAAGACATAGATGGGGTTGAAGTTGGAAATAGAAGCAGTGAGGAATTCAAACATCGAAATAGAGAATGCGATGATGATTTGAGAAAGGTGATGAAGGATTTGGATGGTGATGGTAGATGGATACCTGTAGAGATGGTGGATAGAAGGAGCGAAGATTCATGGATGGATGGATGGAGTGTTTGGTGGAGGAAGAGGAATAAGAAGAGGAAGGAGGATGGAGAGGGGGTTTTTATGTTGAGAAGAGAAGAAGGAGGGTGGTGAAGAAGAGGATGGAACTGGAAGGAGGCAGGCCGTGAATGAAAAATGGACAGTCTTTATTCACTGCTCAATAGAAGCTTACATTCCAGAATGGGGAAAAGGCAAACGACCATTGATTGCATTTGTGAATTCCACGAAGCCCTAAATTCACTGCCATGGCTACTACGCGACTCCACCTACATTGAATTCCCCAACCAGCCTGCTTAGCTAGGTTTTGTTATCTTTATATTGCGCAGCAAGGGACTGTATATTGAAAAAGGAATCAGCTCCTAGTTCGATAACATTTGAACGAATTCCATAGCCTAGGAACAGCAAATACCCAGACAAAAAGCTCACTGCCCCTGCACCACCGCAGCCCTACTACCATCCCCACCCATCTCCTCCTCACAAGCGACGACCCTCTTCTTCACGGCAAAGAAACTATCCGGCGTGACGGAAATCGAGCTAATCCCCGCCTCGACCAAAAACTGGGCAAACTCGGGATGATCGCTGGGGCCCTGCCCACAGATCCCGATCTTGCAGCCATGCTGGCGCGCCACGTCGATCGCCCGCCGAATCATCCAGAGCACGGCCTCATCCTGCTCGGCGAACAGCTCGGCCAACTCCCCCGAATCCCGATCGACGCCCAGCGTTAACTGCGTCAGATCGTTGGAGCCGATCGAGAACCCGTCGAAGTAGCGGGTGAACTCGGCGGCGCGGATCACGTTGGCGGGGATCTCGCACATCATGTAGACCTGCAGGCCGGCGTGGCCGCGCGCGAGCCCGTTCTGCGCCATGACAGCCAGCACCTTCTCGGCCTCGCGCACGGTGCGACAGAAGGGGATCATGACGACGGCGTTGGTGAATCCCATCGTCTCGCGCAGCCGCTGGATGGCGCGGCACTCGAGCGCGAACCCCTCGCGGTACCGCGGGGAGTAGTAGCGCGAGGCGCCCCGGAACCCGATCATCGGGTTCTCCTCGTGGGGCTCGAACTCCTCCCCGCCGATCAGGCTCGCATACTCGTTGGTCTTGAAGTCGCTCATGCGGATGATGGCCGGCCGCGGGTGGAAGACGGCGCACAGCGCGGCGAAGGCCTGCGCCAGCTTGTCGACGAAGTAGTCCGGCTTGTTGTGCGCGTACCCGACGGTCAGCTGCGCGATTCGCTTCTTGGTGTCCGGGTTGGTGAGCTGGTCGAAGTGCACCAGGGCCATGGGGTGGATCTGGATGGTGTTGGCCACCACGAACTCCATGCGGGCCAGCCCGATCCCGTCGACGGGGAGGCGCCACCACCGGTACGCGGCCGCCGGGTTGGCCAGGTTGACCATCACCTGCGTGTGTCGACTGCGCGGCAGCGAGGCAAGGTCGACCACCTGCGTCGCGATGTCGGCGCCCCCCTCGTAGATGAACCCGACATCCCCCTCGGCGCACGAGACGGTCACGTCCTGGCCCGTGTGCAGGATGTAGGTCGCCGTGCCGACGCCCACGACGGCGGGGAGGCCCAGCTCGCGACTGACAATGGCGGCATGCGAGGTGCGGCCGCCGTGGTCGGTGACGAGGGCTTTGGCCTGCTTCATGATGGGCACCCAGTCCGGGTCCGTGGCGCGGGTGACCAGGATCGAGCCCGCCACGAACCGGTCGATGTCCTGCGCCGTCTCGATGAGACACACGCGGCCGGAGACGGCGGCGTCGCCCACGGACACCCCCTTGGCCAGCACGCGTCCGCGCTTTGTGACATGGTAGGTGGTGAAGCTGCTGGCCGCGTCGTGGCGCTGCGAATGCACCGTTTCCGGCCGCGCCTGCACGATCCATAGCTGCTGGGTGGTGCCGTCGCGCGCCCACTCGAGGTCCATCGGACATTCGTAGTGTTTCTCGACGATGCACGCCCACCGGGCCAGCGTCAGGATCTCCTCGTCCGTCAGGACCCAGGCGTCGCGCTCCGCCCCGGAGGTCGGGACGTTGCGCGTCGGGGTGGTGGTGTCGCCGTACACCATCTTGACCTCCTTGCTGCCGCGGTCTTTCTTGACGATGGGCCGCAGCTGGGGGTCCTGTAGCAGGGGCTTGAAGACTTGGTACTCGTCCGGGTTCACCGCGCCCTGCACGACATTCTCGCCCAGCCCCCACGCCGCATTGATCAAGACGACTTGATCGAACCCGGACTCGGTGTCAATCGTGAACATCACCCCGGACCCGCCGCCGGGGGCATCCGACCGCACCATCTGCTGCACGCCGACGGACAGCGCAATCCCAAGGTGGTCGAACCCTTTGGCCTGGCGGTAGCTGATGGCCCGATCGGTGAACAGCGAGGCGAAGCACCGGCGACACGCATCTAGGACCGCGTCCGCACCACAGATATTCAGGTAGGTCTCTTGCTGGCCGGCGAAGCTGGCATCGGGGAGATCCTCCGCCGTGGCACTGGACCGCACCGCCACGTTGAGCTCGTTCTCTGTAGTCCCGGAACGACGGCACAGCTCGTGGTATGCTGTGCGAATCGCCTCTTCCTCTTCTCGCGGCCATCGGCCATGCAGGAAGAGGCTGCGCACGGCGTGGCCGGTCTCAACGAGGGTGCTGCGGCGAGACTGCCAGTCGGCCACGAGGGCGGCGATCTTCTCGCGGAGGTGATTGGCATCGACATAGTGCCAGTAGGCGTCGGCGGTGGTAGCGAAGCCCGGGGGCACGGGGATGCCCGCGCTGCCCAGCTGGCTGAGCATCTCCCCCAACGACGAGTTCTTCCCTCCGACGAGGGCCACATCGCGGCGAGTGAGCTGGTCCAGCTCGAGGACGAGGGGATGGTCACTACTGCCCATGGTGCAGGCTATGTTCAAGAACAAGTATACTTGGGTTAAAGTGATTATCCTTTAATCAATGAGATAAATACTCCGAGAATATGCGACTATTTAACTCCCCACCCACACAGTCAACAAGCAAAGCAACCCGGACCCCTGCTTACAACCATACAACCATAGAACATACAAAAAAACTCCCCTCCCACCCTCTATCACATGCAACCGACCACTCTCTCCTCCCAGAGCTTCGGGAAATACGAGAGTGGTATGGTCGCCGTGCAACCTGGCACAAGGCAAGTGGCGATCGGTGTATGGCGCGGAGGTGCAACCCTAACCCAACCAACCGTGCGGGGGGGGGGAGCATTCTTTGTCCACGCATACTTCCCACCACCCATGGTAAATCCGCCCCTCAACGATGGCAATCCTGCAGCCAGCATTCTAGCATTTCCCGGCCGAAAGATTACAACTACTAGTAGTAGATTCACATGTCTTCCCCTCGAGTCTGTCATCCTCAGACAATTCTTTCTCACATCAGTCAACTATACCGCGGAGCCGATCCCGTAGTATATAACAGCAAAGCTACCCCGTATACCCGGCAGCAAACAACCCAAATCTGCCATTTATACACTACCCACGTCGAAGATATCTGATATACGCCCCCAAAAATGACATCCCGCATTGGCATAATCGGCGTAGGCCATGTCGGCGCCGCAGCCGCCTACGCCCTCCTCCTCCAGCACGTCGCCCGCGAGCTATGGCTCGTCGACATCAAGCTCGACCGGCGCGACGGCCAAGTCCGCGACCTGGCCGACGTCGCTGCCGTCGTTGCCAGCGCCACCAAGTCCCCAGGCGCCGGGGCCGCCGTGCGCTCCGCGACCCACCACGAAGTCGCCGCGGAGTGCGATATCATTGTCATCACGGCGGGGTCCAAATATACCATTGGTATGTCCCTCCCAAGCCCCTAGCCCAGTGCCAAAAAGGGAGATTCAGGCACGCACTAACTTCATGTGTGTGGGTTGAAGGAGAAACAAGCATGCAGCACCTCTACCGCAAAGTTTCTATCGTGCGCAGCATCGTGGCGGCCATGAAGCCCATCCGCCGAGACGCGGTGCTGTTGGTGGTGTCGAATCCGGTGGATCTGTTGACCTCCATGGTGAGGGAGATGGCGGGCCTACCGGCGGGACAGGTGCTGGGGACGGGGACGGAGCTTGATGGCGTGCGGTTGCGGGCGTTGGTTGCGGCGGAGATGGGGGTATGTCTTCCTCCTCAGTATACTACTGTCATCTGCAACAGCAGCAGCAGCAGCAGCAGCAGCATCAGCATCGCATATACTAACAACTAACCAGACCCCCCCATGCACCATCACCAACCTCAACATCCTAGGCGTCCACGGCCCCTCCCAGCTCGCGACCTGGTCCACCGCGACTGTCAACGACCAGCCCCTCCACCAGACCCTACTCAGCAACCACCATCCGACGCTCCTGGCCGATGAATGCACGCAGCGGTCCGAAGCCATCGTCCGCGCCAAGGGGTCGACCGAGTACGGCATCGCGGCGGTGATCGCGCGGCTCTGCGCGGCCATTCTCGGAGATGAGCGGAGCATCCACGCGGTCAGTCATTTCCAGGCGGAGTTTGGGTGCTGTTTTAGTTTGCCGGCGGTGGTGGGGAGGGAAGGGGTCGTGCGGACGGTGGCGGTGGAACTGATGGAGGCGGAGAGAGCGGAGATGGAGAGAAGTGTGAGGCTATTGAGGGGGCGCATTGGGGCCGTGGAGGGCGATGGTGTCGTCTGATTCTTGGGAGGTAGTGAGGGGTGGGTTGCTTGGGCTTGGTGGGTTTTCTCTAGGGTGTTTGGTATGGTGGTTGGTGTATGATGGTAGTTGTAGCGTATCTTACTTCTGTTGGGCAATTACATATTTATCATTTCTACGCCACAATGGTGCCGAGAATTAGAAGGGAGAGGCGGAGGAGTAGGTGGTGATGGTGGTGGTGATGTAGTTCATCCTCAGACAGAAGGGGAGGATAGGGCTATCTCGAAATCCATCGTGTCCATTCTTCACAGAGCAGCAGCAAGGTAAGCGGTTCCCTCCAGTACGTTTCTCAGAACCGAACGCCCCAGTATTCCGGGCTCAAACGAGTCGATGGTTCGAGGGAAAGAACTTCAGTTCCCTACCACTGACCAGCCCGGTAGCATGAAGCGGAGGCCCGGGGTTAGGGCTGACTTCCTGTAGTCACTCGGCCGACACTTCGCACCAGATCTACTACGACGGCTAGAATACTTAGTATCCATGGAACACTGGTTGACGGATCTGCGGGGAAGCCACAAATGACTCGTGTTGCATCATGCCACCAAGACGTCATTCGGGGTTACTTTACAAGGAAGACGGTGGTTTGAGGTCCGACGTCTACGCAAACTCAATACCTAGTATGCGTCTCGGAGCCGAGTCTCGGTTCCATGATCTAAGTTACCAGACTAGAAGGGTCCAGACCGAATCGACCACACCTGTCACAGAGCTTGTATACTCTACAATCCCTATCAACCTTCAATACTGGATCCGCTACTAAGGTTGGATGTGGTTGATCCGAATACGAGAGCTTCTTCTGGCTCCGGGTTTCAAGCTCCGAGGTCCAAACTCAGCTCCGGGACTCATCAATACCCTTCATTTCTCGTTGCCCTGACTTCGTGAATTACTTGAACTATGGAATGCATCGAAAGAAACTTTTCAAAGAGTAAAACTCTTACAAAGTTGAACCCACCTGCCTCGCAAGCGTGGCAATATCCTCGCCATTAAGCCGAAACGCCGTCTCCCGGGACAGACAAGAAGCCAGAAACAGCCAGCATGCCGCATTACCCACCGTAGTGAATCTCTCGGGCAGATCTTGCCTTGCACCTGAGGTCGCGCGCTCCCCAGTACTCTGCTCAGTGCTAAACAAGCCATACAAATGCTGAGCGACCGTGTCCGTCTTGTTCGCGCCATCCTCCACCAAGAACATCCGCTCCTTCAACTCCTCATGCGCGGCAAAGAAACTCCCCCCCGCCGCGGTGGTGACCACCGGCTTCTGCTTCTGCATCGCCCACAGCAGGACCTCCGGGATGCCTTGGCAGAGTGACAGTTGCACCACCACCCGAGCGTTGGAGAGTAAGGTATTCCACACCTGGTCTTGGGGGCTGATCTGCACGATGCAGATCCGCGATGCAAATCGCTTCATCTTGGACTGGACGTGGGAGAAGAGACGATCGTGGTGCGGAGAGCTCTGGGATCTTTGGGCGGGGCCATGGTGGCAGATCAGCAGCTTGGGAAGAGGGAGCTTAGGGTCGTCCGTCCAGGCTATGGTGCAGAACGCCGCGTAGGCGTCTAAGAGGGCGAGGGTCCCGTCTCCGGGACGGAGTTGCGACAGGCTTAGGATGTACTGTTCTGTGTCGGTCATGTCCTGTTTAGCGCTAATCACTCACGGAAATTATACTTCATTGCTGTCCGCGGTTGCCTTACCTCTCGGATAGTGGACAACGGGGTTTCCGAAAGTTCTACATAATGAATTGAGCTCCTGGCCGTAGAAGGTCATGTCGGCATCCGTCAAGTGCTTGTTCAAGCCATCGAGTCTACCGTATAATGTCAGAAGATCTGTCCGGAAAGGAATGTAGGCATAGAAAAGCAACAGGCACAGGTACTGACTGGTCTATCGAAGGGGATATATAGCCAACATTCGCCTCTGACATTACGGATGGCGCGAGTTCCCGGGGTAGGGTTGTGACCAAGGTGTCAACATGCTCCAGCTTGGTCTGCACAAATTGCCAGGCAATTGCCTGAGGATGGGTGGACTGCTGCCGCAGCACATCCGGTGGAGCGTGCAATCGGTTCTCAAACACGACGGGTCGATGAGGATCATGCTGCTTCGCCAGGAGGGCCAGGGTCAACAACGGAGCGCTGTCGATCACGACTACATCCGCCCCGCCCTGTTGGCGCGAGCGCAGGGGACCATGCTCTTCAAGCCAGTACCGTCGCGCATTTTCGTAGGCGAACTCCATGATCTGAAGCTGGTCGTCGGTGTCCAAGGAGACATCTGGCCCTGCTAGGCCCTCCATGAGGTCTTCCATGTTTCGGATCAATTGGAGGATGTTCGGCCGCGGCTTTGGGACATACCTGCACCCATCCGTGACTCTGGAGTCTTAATTCCAAGCGAGATTGGGTATACTCACCACCGGATATCCACCCCCAATACATGACCCAACCGCAACAATGCATGTCGAGTATGCACATCAGGCTTTCCTTGGCATGTCATACTGAAAAATGCAATCTTCACCTTTCTCTCGACCAGGTCCTTGGCCAGTCCCTGAACCAGTGTCCACAACTCCGGGCTCACAGTCCGCTGATAACCCTCCGCCTCGGCAAAGCGTATGCAGAAGCTCCTATCGACGTCCACCATTCCATTATAATGAATCTGGTTGTGAATGAGATGTCCAACGCCAAACGACCTGTATCAGTCGTTCACATCGTTAGTATTTCGTTAGTTTTTCTTGGTTCAGCGCAACGAAGGGCATGCCTCAAACACTTCCTGGCCATGGAATCGGCCTGTTCATCCGCAGTCTTCTCCTTCCAACTCGCGAAGATTGACAAACTCCCCTGCTCGTCTGGCTGTCGGGGATGATCCTTGTACTTCAATACCAATGGTAGAGTATCCAAGTCATGCCAGAGCCGGGAGCACAATCCGGGGCACTTCTGCACCAGACCTTCGGGGAGGCCGACCGCGATGAATTTCTCCTGGTGCTTCTCGCCGTACGCGCGTAGCTGGGATAGTAGCTCACTGATCGCGTGGCATGGTATCTGAGTGCCTTCGACAGCGTTGTGGAAATGGTGGGTAAAAAAGTCAATCAGCTGCGTCGCGTTGCGAATGGCAACGGCGACGGTCAATCTCCCTTGCTCATCGGTCGCTGGCTCTGAGAATCCGGCGTAGATTAACTGTTGATAGCATCGAACAGTCAGCGCAGTTGTATGGATGTGTTGAGATGATAAATGTCATACATACTTGTGCAGGTAGTGCGCACCAGGAACTCCTTGTCAAAGTCGGATCCTCATTAGAACTAGAGTCGTCTGACTGCATTGTATGGTGTATGGTTAGTTATCAAGACACAGCAGAATATCAGGTCGGATGATACTAGAATCGAGCTCAGGAATTGCACAAGCATGAGACCAGGCTCTAGTTAGTTGTATGACTTGGTTAGCCACAAATACCCGCTGATACCCGGGATTTCAGCCCTCGTCAAAAGTCGGCTCTGGCGATACGAACCGCCAACAAAGAAGTTCTCTGACTATGATATAATGCATCTCGCAGCTCTCGCTTCTCCAACATGCGAGAGTCTGGCTCGACTCAGTTCTGTCAAACTTAATGTCAGCATCAGCCCACCCACCCTGTACGATCCAGTACCAAGCAGGCCTCGTAGGCAGTACTGCATGGTTGCACAACACAACCTCGGAACAAGTCAGCATATGATTCATGCTTGTGGCGAGAATCGTAAGACTATCAGCATGAGCAGCACTCTCGGCCGTCTCGGCCGGCCATAGACATAAATAGGCAAGAGCGACTTGTACTCTCCGACAGAATGAGTTATGGCATCACCACATTTGTCATCAGATTTTACACTCTGACAATGGAGCACAATTCCGATCTCTGCAGGCAAGACCCAAGCAACATCCAAGCATGGCTGGTCGGCCATGGATTGGCCTCCCTGGTTGCAGCAGTCTATCTTATCAGGAAAGGGGGCATTCCCGGTGCCCATATCCATATATTCGACCTCCACTCCGACGTGGGAGGTGAGATGATCGTTTCCGGAAATGCAGAAGACGGCTATTCGCTTCCGTTCTACTGCCTTCCCTACCTCCATGGGGAGTGTGTGAAGGAGCTCCTCGATCTGGTGCCGGATGTCCAGCATGATGGCAAATCGCTGGCGGATGATGTGCGTGAGTTTCGATGTCAACTGCCACACAGAGGACTGCCGCATCCTGTTCCGCGAGCTGTGAGCTTGGATTCCTCCGGCACCGAAGCGGTATTTACGAAGGGCATTCAGCTAGGTCTGAAGGATCGGATGGAGCTCATTAAGTTCATCGTGAACCCGGAGCGAGCGCTGCACGCCAAAACAATTGATCAAGTCTTCGAGAAACCATTCTTTGACACAGGGTTCTGGTCCCTATGGTCCACCACGTAAGCATCCTTCTGCGGGTTTGGAACAGACATAGTTGGCCATGCATAGCTACTGACTCCTCGCTCAGATTCGCATTCCAGCCGTGGCACAGCGCAGTCGAATTCCGCCGCCATCTTCGGAAATACCTCGAAGACATCCAGACTCTGAACGATGTCGATAAATCCATTCACACGCGATTCAACCTCTTCGAGTCGATCGTCCTTCCCATCACCCGGTACCTGAAGAACGAGAAAGTGGATTTCCGCTACCACACTGAAGTCAAAGATATCAAGTTCTATCCCGACAGCGACCCAACCACGGTCTCCGAGATCACCGTGATGGAAGACGACCGAGAGTGCTTGATCGATCTCGACCCCCAGGACATCTGTCTGATCGACGTCGGCTTTTCACGCTCCGGGGCCGTTTTCGGCTCCAACGACCACCCGCCACCATTCCTCTCGTCCAACTGGGAGGACCTTCTCCTCCGCGAATGGCGCCTGTGGCAGACTCTGGCCCGCAAATCCCCCAAGTTCGGAGACCCGATGACCTTCCTGTCTCGCCCGTTAGAGTCGGGCATCGAGACCTTCACGACCACCCTACGCGGGACCTCGTTCATGGAGCTCTACGACAAGCTCACGCAGGACAAAGCCGGCACTGGCGCCCTCCTCTCCCTGGTCAAGAGCAATTGGTCGCTGACGATCAGTGTCCCCCATCAGCCCATCTTCGCCTCCCAGCCGGACGACGTGCACCTTCTGTGCGGATACGCGTTGCGTCCGTCCGAGGAGGGAAACTTTGTGCAGAAGCCCATGTTCGCCTGCACCGGCAAAGAAATCTTCACCGAGGTGCTGGCCCACCTGAACTTCCTTCCGTCCGAGGAGTTGAGGCTGGCGGAGAACGCGATCACGATTCCATGTGGCATGCCCCTGGGGACGGCGCCGTTCTTGACGCGTGGTGCAAAGGACCGCCCATTGGTGATTCCTCCCAATACGACTAATGTGGCGCTGCTGGGGCAGTTTGCGGAGCTTCCTGATGACACCACCATGAGTCTGGATTACAGTGTGCGCACCGCGCAGTTGGCTGTGGCGGAGTTGCTGGGGCTCCCGCACCGGCCGGTCTCGGTCAACAAGAATATCTTCCTGGAGATTTTTGACTTGCTTGTTTAATTTTCCATGATGAGTTTGCTACGCTTGCTTTCATATGTGTCTCAACATGGACTTTATTCGCGAGGAGATGTCTTATCTCCTTGTTCACAGATTGGGTGCTTCATACTTTTGTCTCGGATAGTCCGACAGTCTAATTGAACCTAAGCCATGAATGCCACGTTTACATCTCACATGTCTCTGCTAGAGATTGTTTGACCGATCTTAGAACCTTCGCCAAAGCCAAAGACCGGGATACAATTTCCATGCTGGTTCAGCCTTACCACTCATAGGGAATTCCTTGCTGCGCATTGGCGAACAATGGAACTTGTAGGATGCCGCAACACGGTGCCCTCTCCTATTCTCTCGCTTGCAGCACTTCCCCAGACCGGACACCATTCACAGCCTGTACTTTGATTCGGAATTTCACTACCTCTACCTCTTGATAAGCGGACCCTTGAATGGAACTACCCAGCCCATTCACATCGCTTCACGGGCTGTCGCCCAGTCATGGATGAATATAGTTCTACTTAGGTTAATATCAATCCTGGGCCCATGTTACTATCTCTATTGACCACTCTCGTGAATACGGCTGGCTGGAGACTCAGCTCGACATCCCGCTTCCAGTCTGACGGATTTAATTCTTCCCCACTACATCTCTTCCATCTTCTCCCTCAGTACTGCGTTGACTGACTTGATCTTTCCCCAGTACATCTCTTCCATCTCCCTGCACAATTCTACTGGGAACTTCCTCAACGAGACTAAGTCCATGCATGAAGCTTGACTAGAACAACCCAAACCTCAAACATGAGAAGGCTTGGTTTCTGATTTCCAGTTTGCTCTTGATCTTCTTAAACTTCCAGTCTTGAGACATGACCATCCCAATGTGGACTGCTCTTGTATCGCAGTCCACCCGTTCTGAGGAATCGCTGTTCCATCAGTGCAAACAAAATCCATGTTCAGGTTATCGCATCTCTAACCCATGTCCTTGAATTCGAGGTCTCGTCCCATACCATTTTCAAATCTCAGAAACCTTTCTGTTTGACATCCCGTTCCACAAGAACATCCGTCCTAAACGGACATGACATACCAAGATGCTCGACATTGATCCACTGGCTTTACACACGGAGTCATATCCGTTACCCATCATCCATGGGGGTCGATATCCTGTCTTCTTCGATTGTTGGGCCAGCAGGATTCCTGGTCGACAAAACGGGGTTCGATCACTCTCTGTCCCAAATCGATAGGACTTCTACAGATCCAATGGGCTACCGGAATCAGCCTGACTGGCTGCCTGCAGTGGTAAGTCCGCAGTGCCCATTCTACCAAGCAATGCGGTGCTAACCCCAGCCAGTATATGGCTATCTGTTCTTGACAACAAACATCAGTCTCCACCCCCATAAACTTGATTTCCATAATACACCACCACTCACCTCTTTCGACCTCATGGAACCTGATTTTAATTTCCATAACTATGGTCATGACTAGGAGATGGGGCGATTCCTGCTTCGCCATCTGCCCCGAGATATCCGTGGCCTGCCAGACAGAGCATGGTACCTTTCCTAATACATCAACATGGTTGGGGAATGGGGACGAATCCAGCTTCTCCGCCTGTTACGGAGGTCCTGGCTTCCAGATAGAGTACGCTTCCTTTTCCTGACTGATTGTGATGGCAGGAAAACGGGGACGATTCCAGTTTCGCCACCCGTCCCGCGGAGACTGCGACCAGCCAGACAGGAGCCCGGGATTGAGCCACTGAGTGCATACTCTCGAATGAGTTAAACCTGGCAATGCCAGTAGGCCGGAGGGCCTTTCAAGACTTTGCTATGCGAATTGTTCAACGAAACGCGTTACCTTGCTTGTCCATCTCCTCTCAAGACGAAGACTTCTTCCATCAGAAATCCCTCTCTCCTTTTACACGGGCCGTGTCCGGAAACTTCCCGGATACCGTGGCAGGTTGTCAGGAGACAGAGCCGGCGATGGACTTTGCATGTCTTGAAGGGTAGATGGCTGTATGTGGCAACGGGTTCCTACGCCATACGGCAGAAGTTTCGGTACTTCAAATGTGCCAGAGCGTAGAGCAATTCTTTGCTACGTGGTACAATACATGAAAGCACAGGCACAAATGATCAAGATTCTGTCTAGGTGGGTGAGTGTCTTTCATGGCTGCGCTGTCAGCGATGCATAAATCATCAGATTATGCATCAGACAGCTCACCATGTCGAAGGAAGTCGGATCACCTGTTTGCTTCATCCGACTCTAGACAGTCTGGCTTTCCCAAGAGCGTATTGCACTTGGAGACGCAGGGGGCAGTTAAAGTACTCAAGATGAGTCAGGAAGAGTGACAAGGCCGATTGGGATTATCCTAGATCATCTGGGCCGTCTCTCGCACTATCTGATCGAGAAGTCATCATCTTTATATAGCGATCTCGCGTCGTCATCTGGAAGAATTCAAAAGTACCTTGCATTGCTCATGTGCGATCGAAGAACAGCCTATCAAATCATTACGCTGATTCCATGGACGAGCCGGTCCCAGCGGACAATCGCCTTCGGGCTCTGCGGAAGAAGGACCAGAAGAAGGACCAAGAGAAACGGCAGACCCGCAAAGGGCTAAAGAACAAGGACACCTCTCATGAAATGCTGGTAAGGTCAGACCGAGGGGCATTTGCAGGTCGATTGAAGCTGGGCTAATTATTTGCTTGCCGGTAACAGACGCGAGAGGCCGAGAGCCTCGAAAAGCGGCAGTGGCGGAGGAGGCAGAGGTGAAATGGAAGCGCGAGAAAGCTGCGGAGATGCGGCAGAAGGCTGAGGCTCAGAGCAAGGGACTCCTCCTGCCCGGTTATGGACTCCCAAGTGTATGGCGAATTTTCCCATTGGGGCGCAGCCCGCTACTTTGCTACCTATGCAAGATTCGCTTTATCCGTATATGCAAAACACCACAAATACTCCAAAGGAGGTTGTTGCAGCGCCGCAGGCGAAGATCTCATCCGGGCAATGGTTTCAACTACCGAAGCAAGGTATTTCAGCGCTTGATCTACTTGAATTATCGTCCTTTGTTCCAGGCCCATCTATTGACTAGCATGAATTGGGATACTATTCTCAGGTTTGGAAACGTATTCTTCATCCCTCTTCTTCCTCCTACCTTGAACCACTATAGCTTCTCGAGTCATTCTTCCCCATATACACATCTTTGCCCTTCTCTCTAACAAGTTTATCCAAAACTATAGTATCTAACCAACCTCTTCTGCTGCTGCATGACCAATATTACATCGGTCCATTCTTTCTCTCATTCGGTACGAGCAATCATGCAGAGAATTGTGGCTTCGAGCATATCCGCATACACGATGTCATCGAGTTAGCACAGCTCAACAGCATTGATCTCAATGGCAACAAAGATTCCTGCATGTAGCAGCTCCATCATACAGCAGAGAACTTTTCTTCCAGAACTCGAGGCATGGCTTCAGATGTATCAAGAATCAGTCACGCACTGAAGCCATCGTTGCAGTAGCTACACGTTGTCATTAATGACGAAAGCTGTGATAGCAAACTAGCTCCGGGTCCTGGGTGCATTAAAGCCTCCCCGACTACCGACCAAAGAGTATCGAGAAGTAGAAGAGGGTATTGCGCCTGCAGTGGTGTGACAAAATGGGCAACCATCAGAGTTGAATTTGCAATATCGTACCTAATAGGGCCAGTCTAATGGATGTCGAAGAGGAATACTGTAAGTCTTCCTTCCCTCCTTCTCGTCCAATCTACCGTTACATGAATACTTGCTGATTATATCAGTCTCAGCGGAGTCGAAGCAAAGAGTGAAATCGACTCTTGTCAGACTTCTAGATAACCAGCAGTGCATCACTGTTACCAAGCACGTTACTCGCGTACTGCTGCCGCCATGGATGACTCTATTCGAGATACATATCATCGATTGATGAAAGTCTTGTCAACTCAGAACGGCACTGGTTCACCCACCGTCCATAGCAAAAGTATTCACAGCAATCATGAAAAACCTGCGACTTGGGCAACCAATTTAGCCAGCGTGCTAGTGCTTCCCCGACGTCACAAATGAAATTATTTGCCTGGTGCATATTCATATTTTTCCCCAGATATTGCGAATCCACAGGTACACTCCTCATCTCTGCAATCAAGTCAACCCTGTTCCACGTCAATGCAAACAAACGATGACGTTCTGTGAAAGCAGATGGCTTGTCTCAGGTCAAACATAGTCCCCTAAATTTGATCAAAGCCGATGTAATCTCCCGGCTCAACGAAGCACAGGTACGGAGTCGGATGTTTTCCTGGTCAGCATCAGCAATCGAAATTTGGACCTCGTAAGCTCTGTGGGATGTGTTTTTTTTTTTTTTTTTTTTTTTTTTTTGCCGTCTACCGCATGGGGGTCCGCAAGAGTATCAGGATCCAAAACAAACTCGAAGAATGCAGCCGCTATGTCGCGGGCAGGGTTGGGCTTTCCGGGCTTATACACTCTGATGTATGCTTGATCATGTCTTTTCGAGAGAGTACAGCTTCTTTTCACCTCATCCATTCGATCATGACAGAATCGCGGGTATTTCAGAGTTTGACTTCCTGGGTATTGGATCAAAGCTACGCCAAACCATCTGGCGACTTTTTACCACGAAGTCTCGACGATCCCAGTCCCTGTCGACATCATTTATATCCGACTACTGAAGTACCTTGCCCATCGATGCATGATCTCTACATAGAGATAGGTGCAGCTCCGCAATACGCTGCCATATTGGGCAGCGATGAGGGGACCGACCTCGCTTTTCTACCTTTGCCATCAATCTGGTCTATCGCAACCTAGGCCTTCATCATGGAACTCACCTCACAATCTTCAAGCAGTCCAAGCCCTCCAATTATGGACGAAGAAGAACTTGACGACTTTGCAGAATTTGCAGAAGTCGAAGAATCTGACCACAGTCCAGTCTCGGGTCACCGCCCGACTTTCAGATGCATCAAGCATCTGATAAGGACGATGACACTGTCCATTTCCGAAATTCTGTTCTCACACAGCTTCCAGCTGAAGGCTGAATTCAACTAGCTGGTGACATTACTCGTCACATGCCTTCTCGATCGCTGGAGCGAACGTCAATGCGACGTGTCCGTGGGGTGAGAGGGCTCGGCACATCCTCCCACATCCTGCGGGACCTGCTCCTCACGTACGTCGTTTCAGCACGAAGACAAGGTCCATGCCAGTGAGCTCAACGAGCGTGAGGTGCCCCTGCGCTCCCGACGGTTCTCGATGTGGACTACTGGGAGCCCAACACCGAGAAGAGACCCCCCCCCCCCGGCGCCCTGCATACCTTCGGCACGACGTCGATCAGAGAGGGCCAACTTGTGACCTGGCCCAATACTTATCGCACCAAGCAAGAGCCCTTTGGCCTGGTGGACCCCAGTCAGCCGGGGAATTTGACCCTGGCCAAGCTTCGTCTCATCGACCCTCACTACCGCATTTGCTCAACACGGAATGTGCCTCCGCAGCAGCATGACTGGTGGGCCTCGGCCGCGAGAGAGGCAGCGCAGCTGGATCGGCGCTTACCGCCAGAGATTGTGTGTGCTGTAATGGAACACATTGGTCATCCGCCGATATCTGCGGCCGAGGCAGAAATCTGGCGTGGAGAACTCCTCGGCGACCACGAGCGCGCGCAAAAGGCCATTGATGCGTGCGTGGGGCACCATATTGTCACTTTTCTTCCTTACGATGAGAGAACGGCACGACGGGCGAGGGATGCAATAGCTGGTGCTGGATATGAATCACCATAAGATCTTGTCCCTTGATCTGGTTTTTGGGTGCGGGTAGTAGGCTTCCCGCGGGGGAGGCGTTCATGATGCTCTGCCGGTGTTGAATGGGTTGCAGTATATGCGTGGAAGAACCTCGGCTTCGGGAGTAAAAGCAGAAACGAGACGGAGTATCTGCTCGGTGTAGAGTCCAGGCAAGACTCTAGCAGCACGGGTTACGAGCAAGCTATAACATATTTATATGTGCTAGTAGGCTTGGATATACTCATATTGAGACACGGATTAGGGTAAATATAGATGTAAAGTATATGAACAAGAATGAGAATAGAAATGGACCCTGAAATCACCACGCTGTGTCAATGTGCTTTGCTTTTCCGGTGCCGCGTTACCCTGAAGCCAAGCCCAACGCCATATTGTGAGACACGTATGCACGCCAAAGAGATAAGGACTCGTGAGAAGGAGGAATGTCAAGGTATGTGGAAGCTAACTAGGCGGGGTGGAGAAGGATGAAAGGGGGGTGGAAAGGTAGTGGGGCACCAGAGGTGCCTGGGGTATCTCAAGAAAGAAAAGCAGAACACTTTCATCATCGAGAAAGGCTCACAAAACTCCGCCAGGTAGATTGATTTGAGCTTGTCGCCCTTCGAAACCAGCACTATTCGGCGCTGACCCGCTACCGGTGGGATACATGTTGTTCTCCGGTGGATGGACTTGTTTCCGCAGCATGAACATCGGCTTCCGTCCTTCGTTCTGAAGTTGCTTGAACAAGATCAACGGTCTCTCCTCTAGCCCGAGACATCGTTCCTGGTCACCATAGACAATATACAGTGCGTATTGCTTCCAGTCCGCGTTGATGTTGTACTTCTTCAAAGCGGCGGGGAGGACTTTATGGCAGGGGTCATCCAACGATACTCGGAAAGACTTGAAGATCTCCACGCTCGGAGGATCCCCAGTTGCTCGAGAGTCTGACCGTGTCGGGATGTCAGGGCGCGTGGCTTGCGTTGGGGTAGGATTTAATCGGTCGGAGCGGGATTGGGTCGGAGGAGTGTCGTCGTGGTGGTTGTGAGAGGCGTGGTTGATGCTGGCCGAACTAGGCTGTGAGTAGGCCCGTGAGGCCAGAGTCTGCGTGTGGAGATTGCCTGGAGAGGTTGGCGACGGAATTCCTGGCGATAACTGGGCCTTTCCGTTCATCATAGCCATGTGGGATGAGTTTGCCGTGGACGGATCCAAGCCACCGCCGTCCCCATACATGCGTCCTTCGTGGATGGAAGGTGGGATATAAGTGGGTGAGCTCGTTTTGGGGGTAGTCCCGCCGGTGTGTCCTCTCTTGGAGAACGTCCTCGAGAGAATCGACCCCGAGCGATCCAGGAGCGTGATTCCAGAGGGCGAAGTCAGATTCGGGGGCTCGTGATATGTTTCTGTGCCAGGCGCGGGGACCGCCGATGGGGGTGGCAGCGGTTGCGATCGATCCTTGGCAATCTTGAAGACGGGTAGGAGTTCCTCTCGCAACCGACGATATTCGTCTGCCATGCGCCGCAACTCTGCCTCCACAGTGACTATGCGTTCGTCTCGCAATCGGATGGACTGAATCAAACGAGCGACATCGTCTTGAGTGGCACCTTCGTTCATACTTTGGTCGGCAGCTATGCAATCGAACGTCAGCGGACTATTCCAGTAGCCAGTCGAGGGATACACGTACAGAGTGGAATGTAATGATCGGCGTCCAGCGGAATGTCTTGCTTGACCTTGGTCTCGTACACACTCTTGAGGATGGTCAAGCGGTGCCCCACACTAGCGATACCCATCTCTTTCAATTCGTCATGTTTGAGTGCGATAAGCGCTTCGCCAACGATTTCGTTCTCTGTAGAACCCAAGAGTCAGCACGGATGAAGCACCTTGGCCGCGCCGAGGAATATCATCGAAGAGACACACCTAGAAAAGCCGCGCAGTACTGACGCAGACCCAAAGCGGCAACAAAATGTGCGCACTCTTCGGCCGTCCATTCTGTAATGATTGTCTTAGGCGAGCGAGGGTTATCGTCGAAATTGGCCAGGGTGGTCGGGGTATGTTCGGCAGAGGGAAACTCGGACTCGGAGGGGGAGGCTTCCGAGTCAGTGGCCAGGTGAGGGGATGTGATGACACTGCGTTCGTACTCGTCGTCTGCATCGGAGTCGGCGTGGTAGGAGGTGTGGAGAGACATGGTGGATGAGGATCAATGACCGGCAACGACGCCCAGCACGAAGAGGGGGGGGATGGACGTCGGACCGGTTGGGGGTGAATGAGACGGCGCCAGTTGTAGCACGGGCGAAGTTAGGATGGAGGGAGCACGATCGAAAGGTATCAGACTGTCTTGGATGGATTCTGGGCGAACAATGGAGGAACTCTCAATAGCGCCGGTGATGAGTTTCAGGATTCGAGGTTCCGGGACGGAAAGCGGCTCGTGTCAGACACGGCGGGGGTGGTTGGAGATGGCTGGGATGAGATGTGGGGGATAGACAGGAGACAGCCGTTGACGACAGTCGAAGTCAAAACTTCAAGGCGAAAGAGGAATCCGGCGAGTGGTGGAGGATGGCCGTGATTGCGAGGAGTGGAGTGGAGTTCCTGAGGCCAACAAGGCTAATAATCACAGGCATGCAGCCAGAGCGGGGAAGCTGGGGGGGGAAGAGGGAAGGATGAGGGAGGAGATCGGAATTGTGATGACGGCCACGGTGGAGGTAATGAAGGTGGAAGAAAACGAGGATGGTAGAGAGGGGAAAGAGAAATCTCTCTATTGTATTGAAGAAATAATAAAAAGGAAGCAGAAGAAGAGGAGGAAGAAGCCGGTCAGTTGAAAGTGAGAGGAGGAGGAGCAGCAGCAGCAGCAGCAGCAGCAAGCAGCGAGGCAGCTGGTTGGGCGCGGAGTAGCGAACGAACCGCCGAAAGGGAAAAAGAGGCGCTTCGATGCGTGGATCGCCGCACGTGATCTTCCGCGGTCTGGACCACACTGACTTGGGAGGGAACACTTATAAGTGATCTCTATCTATCCTCCATCTGATCCATCATCGCACACAACATGCAATCGAAGCACTGAGGATATTCCCACTGGGGCAATATCACCGTTATCCTCCCCTGGGAAAGACCACTTATTAGTCTATAGTCTATCCTCTATCATCTCCATCAAGACGATCCATACTATGGGGTCCATGAAAACTTCCCCCCTTTCCCGAGTCCATCCACCACTACCACTACCACCACCACATCCAAGCTCAACTATCCCATATCAACCCCCAATATTCCGATTCCGATATAGAATTAGTATCGGCGCCAAGCCCACAAATGTCTCTTCTCCCCTGGATTATGGGGGAGACTAGCGAGGGAACTATTTCGATTCCAAGTTCGGACTAACCGAGGGAAAAGAGCCCAAAGCTCCTCCCACGATATTGTGCTGCTGCCCTGTCAAAAATCCAATAGTGCCGGAGCCTTGACGTTTTTGGGGAACTGGGGCCTTTCTGCTCTCCGCCGCCGTCATCGTGCCATGGCTTTTCTTCTGACTTATTTTTGTCTTGTCTTCTCTCACTCTTTTTAAGTTATTAACGCGCGCCCTCATTAACTGACTGAATTATTGGCTCCTACAGATTCTGGCCATGTTGGCCAATGGTGTTGTTTTGTCGGGCTGGGATGTCTTTGCTAGCCCTATATCAACCGGAACGATATTAATAAATAAATAATCTGTGCCTCCATCCCCCCCCCTTTTTCTGGGTCCGGAGTCTGAGGACCTCGGAGTCGAGTTGGAGCCAATGTCTTTGATGGAGGGGCCGAGGGAAATAAACTCCTTCTAGAAGGTACGATCTGGGCCGTAGTTGAGGTCTGCGCTGCTCGTATTGATTATCATCCTCTCAGACAAGATTCTGGTAAAAATGAATGTGATTGTATCTGTAATCGTCTACAAATGCCCGGCTACATTCGGGGTCGTCGCCATGCTGCCGCACCTATGACTCCAGTGAACTAGTCACAAAAGACCAAGTCCAGGCAGAAACATTGTACTGAAGTACAGTAGCCACCGTAGCCTTCATGCAAGGTGATCAAATTTTGTCTTTTTTTTCCCTTCGCACAGGATCTCAATTCCGGATCTACTAGCCAGGCTGGATGGGTCAACGTCAACATCAACGGTCACTGCACTAAAGCACCCCGACTAGGCTCCATAGTACACTCTCGCACCACCGACAGGGGTGGAAAAGACCCAACCCATCAACTCTCCACTTTAATCTACTCATCCTCTGTCGATAGAGTACTCAGTCAGTACTGACTTCCGAAAAAAGTCCATTCAACGGTCTCCATCCCGGGCAATCCCTTCCTCCACCGTCGTCGTCGGAAACAAACCCATTCCCCCCGACCGGAACATCTTGCATCAATCTCCTGTGGATATCTGCACGGCACTGTATACACATAGTCCAGTACATACACCTCGCCACCAAGGATCAGCCTTTACCCACCACCTTTTGGCAAACCGAGCAAGGGGAGCTTCGGATGGAGGTCGCACAAGCGTCTAAACCGACATTACACGAACATGTGGTGGCCTGCCCCCCTCCCAGCCATCGCGGCACGCTGCCTCGCAGCCCCGATCAAATCGTCTGGCGGTTTTCAGCATGGAATACCACGACCACGAACCAGTAGGTAAGGTTTTCCTGGGTATAGTGGAGCCAGCCCCCTCCTGCAAGCCGGCGACTGTAGTACGTAAGGTCGAGTTCGAGGGTGTACTTAGTATCTCCGGCGCAATGATTGCATCGTGGTCTTGGTGCCCCCCCGGCCGGCGGCTGGGCGCTACAGGGGGGCAATGGCAACGATGTGCTATTATTATCGCGGTACCCTGATTGAAGCCTTGGGCAGGGTATGTCCGGGCTGGGTTGTGCGTGGACCGGTGCAGGGTTAGATTGTCGATCTGTGAATGAGTGTGCTATGCTGTGTGTTGAGACTGCAACTTCAAGACAGCTTGAAGCGGGTTGTAACACCAGGGACAATCAACAATGACAATAGGGATGTAGAGTAGTCACTGGCAGCATATATATTCTAATCACAACCACTAACTCAATTCATCAAATACTTGAGGAAGCCACTGGATCAATTGATTTCCAGCTGCTATCAAAAAGTCTACATTAAGCCAAACATTCATGCTCCATATTCTAGATTGCATCGCGCCTGTTCTGACTGACAAGTACCATACAAGTAAAGACACAAGCGCCGGGACTGAACGTCCGTCGGCGGGTAAGTTAGAGGATCTGATCTGACTGAGTGAGCGAGTGACTGACGGCTTATCCGCTCCGGACTGGAGCCAGCCCAGCCCAGCCCAGCCCATGCCATCTCCTCCGCCGCCCGCAGCAGCCCGCAGCGCAATTCCCCCTCCGACCTGACCTCAACCCGTTTGTACAGTACTGATGTACATAGTACAGCACACGACCCCTCAACCCACTACCAAGATACACAAATACTCTCCTGCAACAAATCATCCACCTTATCTACAGCCCACCACCTTCAAAGACGATCACCCTGAACTCCTCCCTCGAACCACGCCACCTCCACCACACCACCATCACCAACAGAAACCCCTCTCCCCACAATCCACAGTACTGTACAACCTCAACCTCAACCTCAACCTCAACCTCAAGTTCAACATCCAAACCACAGCACGGGAACAATGACAACCAACCCCCGCCCCTCCCCACCCACCACCTCAACCGACCTCGAAACCGACCTCCTCACGCACCTGCTCACCACCCCGGCCCTCGACGACCTCCACAGCACGCTCCTCGCCGCCCTGCAACGCACGGGGTGGACCGAGAAGATCCGGCGCCTAGCCCAGGAGCTACTCCGCGGGGGACGGTGCGAGCGGTTCGACGAGGTCATCGAAGCGGTGGTCGCCTCCGCCGAGGGGCGACGCCATCCGTCCCTCCTCGCCGCGCCCGGCAAAAAAAAAAACGGTGCTGCAACCATCAAAGACGAAGATGACGACGACGACGATGACGACGTCCACGCGAACGGGAAGAAAAGCGGCAACAACAACAGCAATGGCGGCAATGCAAACAACGCCGAGTATTTCGAGACGGTGGATGTGCGGATCCCCTGCGCGGTCGTCGAGCAGGGCGTGCGCGCGATCAAGGAGGTTCTGCGCGATGTAGCGGTGCTCGAGGGGGATGGGGATGGGGTCGGGGATTCTTCTTCGTCTGCGGCCGCCGGGGATGGCGGGGATAAGGAGAAGGAGAAGGAGAAGGAGCACACCACCACGACCACGAAGACGCCAGGGCCGAAGGATCGCGTGAAGGGGGTGAAGAATGGGGAGAGTAACGGGTTCGGGGCCAGCGGGAGTCCCGTCAAGAAAGGGGAGAAGAAGATGAAGCCGAAGCAGGGGAAATAAAGGGATCTGCGGGCTTTTCTTCTGTCTGTCTTATATTTTGATAAAAGGCGGGAGTTGGTGTTGGTGGACATTCGTCTGGCGTTTGGATGGGTTTCGGATGGGGACTCCTCCCTCGGTGTTATCAGGGTCGGCATTGCATTTTCTAGATACCAAATTCTACTACTTCGTTCCACACCCAACGGAATCAATCATCGTAGCAACTTCTTGGCTATTAGATGGATCAGAACTATCTTAGCACCCAGAATAATAAGAAATGGCCACAAAAGTACTTGTCAACCAACGTGATTTAGTCGAGGCTCACCCCGCTGATCTAACTAAGTGCGCATAGGAAACAAAGCATGAAAAGATACAGTTTAGTCGTAGAGGCTGTCGTCATTGCCGGCTTCGCCAAAAGTGTTGTTGTCCGCCACCTCACCCGAGGAAGGGAAGCGGAAGAAGGTGCTGCCGCCGGAGTTCTTCAAGCTCTGCGCGAAAGCCTCGTAGCGGCGGATCTCCACATCGCTAACCGACTTTCTGGCCGACTTCATCGCCTCCTCGAAGTGGGCACGGGTTAGCTCCGGCACGGGGTCCTCCTCCTCAAGCTCCTCGTCCTCCATCTTGACGTCCTCACCCTGGGCCTCGCGCTGCTTCTGGCGGTCGATGTCGGCGCTGATCGACTGCTTGATGGCGAGCTTGACAGCACGCTGAGTAACGAAGCCAAGATCGGCACCGGAGAAGCCGTGGGTCTTGCTGGCGATGAAGGAGATGTCGACATCAGGAGCAACGGGCGTCTTGCGCAGCTGGGCCTTAAGAATGCTCTCACGGGAGGCCTGGTCGGGCAGGGGAACGTAGACCAGAGTATCCAGACGACCCGGACGGACCAGGGCAGCGTCCAGCTGCTCGGGTCTATTCGTAGCACCGATGACGAAGACGTTCTTCTTGGAGGTCATACCATCCATTTCTGGGACGAGTCAGCTAGGAACTATCGAAGCAAAGGCGAAATAACATACCGGTTAGGAGCTGGTTGACCACACGGTCGGAAGCACCACCAGCATCGCCGACGGATCCACCACGGGACTTGGCAATGGAATCCAACTCATCGAGGAAAACGACGCAAGGGGCGGCGGCACGAGCCTTGTCGAAGATGTCACGGATGTTGCTCTCCGACTCACCGAACCACATGCTCAGCAACTCAGGACCCTTGACGGAAATGAAGTTGGCAGCGCACTCGTTGGCCACGGCCTTGGCCAGCATGGTCTTACCAGTACCAGGGGGGCCGTAGAACAGCACACCGCGAGAAGGAGAAAGACCGAACTTCTGGAACTTCTCGGGGTGGTCGACAGGGTACTGGACGCTCTCGATAAGCTCGCGCTTGACCTCCTCGAGACCACCAATATCCTCCCAACGGACGTTGGGGACCTCGACGACGGCAACCTCGCGCAGAGCGGAGGGGTTGGAGACACCAAGGGCGTAACGGAAGTTCTCCATGGTAACACCAAGAGAGTCGAGGACCTCAGCGTCAATGGTATCCTCATCCAAGTCAATCAGGTCCATCTTCTCACGGATCTGCTGCATGGCGGCCTCAGAGCAGAGCGAAGCGAGATCGGAACCGACATAACCGTGGGTCTCAGCAGCGATCGTCTCCAAGTCGACATCATCACCCAGCTTCATGTTCTTGGTGTGGATCGACAGAATCTCGAGACGGCCGGTAGGGTCAGGGATGCCGATGTCGACCTCACGATCGAAACGACCGAAACGACGAAGGGCAGGGTCGATGGAGTTGGGGCGGTTGGTGGCGGCCATCACAACGACGTTCGAGCGGGCCTTCATACCGTCCATGAGGGTGAGGAGCTGGGAGACAACACGGCGCTCGACTTCTCCGTTGGTCTTCTCACGCTTGGGGGCGATGGAATCGATTTCATCGATGAAGATGATGGCGGGGGAGTTCTTCTCGGCCTCCTCGAAAGCCTTTCGCAGGTTCGACTCGGACTCACCAGCCATCTTGGACATGATCTCGGGACCGTTGATCAGGAAGAAGAAGGCACCGGTCTCGTTGGCAACAGCACGAGCCATCAGAGTCTTACCAGTACCGGGAGGACCGTACATCAGGATACCACGAGGGGGCTTGATACCGATGGACTTGAAGAGCTGGGGGTGACGCAGGGGCAATTCGACCAACTCGCGGATCTGAGCCATCTGCTTGCGGCAGCCACCAATGTCATCGTAACCGACCTCGTTGAGGTTGCCCTCCTCGTCTTCACGCTGGATGGGCTCGCCCTCGCAGTGGATGATCGTGTCCTGGGCCACAATACCGTACTCTGGGGGATCGACCTCAACAACCTTGAACTCCACCTGTCTCATACCTCCTCGTACTGTAAACAGATCTCCCTGTCGGACGGGTCTGTAGGCTTCGCGGAAGTAGGGGGCAAGGTAGACGTCGAAGAGGGAGCCGGTCAGGCCCTCAACGGTGTCGGCAATAGGAAGGACGGCAATACGCTTGGCCTAAAACACAAAGAAGCCGCGGTTAGCCACCAACCACCGTCTGCTCTCGTTGGGCTGGACTCACATATTTGATGTCGGGGCAAGGGTGGACGGTGATCATGTCGCCGTGCTTGACACGGAGGTTGTGTCTGACGACACGGTTGATGCGAGCGCTGCCGTCATCGAGATCATCATCCGCCAAGACAATCAGAACCGTGTCCTTGCGCTTCTTGCCCTTGACAAGGACGGTATCACCGCGGAAGAGCTGGAGGGTCTCCATCGTGTTGTTGGAAAGGGCAATAACGGAGTTGTCATCGTTGACGGCATCGGTAACACTATTGACACACACACACACGTCAGTATCCCAGCCCCCGCTCCACAGAACAAATGACACAGGCAAACTCACATCAGAGAGTTGGGCTTCTTCTTCTTCTTGAGGATAGCGGTCGAGGTGTCGAGCTCCTAGCAACGAAAAATAAGTCAATATCACCAACAAGGTCCCTGCGGAGTCTGAAGGCAAAGTCTTTACCTCTTTCTTCTCGGCGCCCGAGGGGTCACTATGATGTATTAGCATGCGGGGCAAGACTGGAAATCTTGATGGATGGGGACCTACTTGAGGTTGACCCTCTTCTTGTCGTGGGTGTGGTCTGGCTCTGCGCTCATCTTGATGGAGTGTGAAGAAAGGCGCGTAAAGCAACGTAGTCACTGGGAAAGGTAGCAAGGACTGTTGCCGTACCGGATTAGGCGAGCTCGGTAACAGGCACGGAGGAAAGTGAAGATAAGGAAAGGAAGAAAGGAAAAGAGATCTCAGCAGACAGCAGGAAATGTCTGAGAGATGGCGCAATTTGGGGGGAGAGATGCAAAAGTGATAGAGCAGAATAGGTGGGTGAGTTTGGTGGGTGGAGAGAGGGAGATGGGGGAAGTGAGATTGAGTTGTAGGTTGGCAGAAGAGCTCCGGGTTGTTAAGAGGTGACGATAGCGCCAGGGCCTGTTCGGAAACTGATGACTTAAGCTGTTTGCAGAGATTCCTGAATCCTGAGCCACCCAAACACCCACCGCCTACCGCCTGCCGCCACCGCCTCGGGGGGAGAAGAACCGCATGGAAGCCGGTCGTATCCACAATGATCATCAGCCTCTGGCCCTTCTTTGCTTTGGGTGCTTGATAAGCCCGGGGAAGCTCTTCGAACTAACGATCTGATGACTGGCTAGTGTTTGAAGCGGTCGATCTGGTCTTTTCTGTTGGCTTTGACATTTAGAGGTGCCAATGGGGCTGCTGTGTCGATGCCTCAGGCATGACGCGATGTATCGTGCTGTGGCCTTAGGCATCATGGGCGATCTATCACATCAAGATGGCCTCTGTTCAACCAGCTTAACAAGCTGATACTCATACAGTGGCAAAGTAAGGACAGTTCGCCTCACTGAACTCTTGTTCTGGATCTTCGTCATGTTGTTCTCTCAATTGCCCGAGGATATCATGTCGAATCATTCAGAGTTCACAGCAACTCTGACAATACCCCTACTCTCAGTAAGTTAGTAAAAGAACAAGACATGAAGCGAATCAATCACAGAAAAGAACAAAATCATAGCTAACGGACTCACTAGCCCTGCTTGACACTGCGGCCTTATGGCTGTTTTACCAGTTCAGTGTGTGATAAAGTCACGTGGTCTGGTGAATGTACCAGCCCAGCGCCCCAGTATAGCATCAAGGAAGACTTCACCAGCGCACGCATGTAGTGAGAGCGCTGCCTACAGCCATGCGGGTCAACCTCACACTCGCCGACTAAGCGACGACATCATAGCTCCTCATGGTGTCGCATTCGGTAACACGATGGCACCCCACCCTCCAACTTCACATCCTCACCTTCCTTCTCCCCACCGACTATCCCCAGTACCTTTGTATCTCTATCCCTCTATTTGAAATCCTGTTCCTGTGCGTGAAAGACCCAAGATGAGCAGCCGTCCTAGCGCCATCAAGCGCCGCCCTAGCACCGTCCGCAATATGGAGTGCTTCCATTGGTACCCCGACAACTACAAGGTCGCGTATCAGAACCAGCTCAACATGACCCAGCTGCACCAGCTCCTGGCGGACGAGGATCAGCGCGTCATCTTCGTCTACGGCTGTCTCAAGCTTCCCACCGTCCTGCGCGCCTATTGTGACCAACCGGACAGTCTGCAGTTTGCCCGTAGGATGCAGCCGGCCCGGGCGGTGGGGTACAGGCTCTACGAGCGGACTCCCAACGGCGCCCCGTTCATGGTGTTCACCGGACAGGAGCACGATGTTGTCGAAGGCATGGTCGTGTTCGCGATTGACCACGAGGACGCCATCACCATGATGCACGGTGAGAGCGGCGGGATGGACGCTTGTCTGATCGAAATCGAGGCGGTCATCGTTGAGGACGGCTCCGGCCTGGCCGATCGCTGGGTCGAGGTGACCTACGCTCTGAAGGTGCACGCCCTGGTCTGGAACCGCAGTCTGGAGGGGATGCACTGGAAGGGTGTCACCGATTGGGCCGTCGACCTGTTTCTGCGCTCCGAGCATTATGACAAGTTCGTAAGTCTGTCGTTGACTTCCCTTTATGCGATATCCTCTAATATCAGATGGCCACAGAGACGTCCCGGCGAGCTCGTGTCGGAGGAAACCATCGACCCGGTGTTCCGCCTCTAAGCTCCAACTCTCGGCTCTAGCTTTTGAATGTCGCTGGATCAGGTACAACTTCATTGGATGCGTGCATGACTACTGGTTTAAGATCTGACTGCTTTCCCGTCATCGGTCTGCGACCTTTCTTCGAGACAACTTCCACATGTCCTATCTGACATTTCTACCTCCGGGTCTGCGACCTATTCCTTATTCCACATTGCCACAGGTTGACTCTGCATGGCGTTTGATACTCATTTACGCTACGATGCGATACGATACGATGACGATTTGATGCTCATTCACGATGTGATGACGCTTACGATGATGATAACGACATTGGCACGATCTGATGACTGCTGGTTCTTAGCGACACCTGATTTTTATCTATCACATGACGTGACGGGGCATCTTGGGAGTTTTCAGGGTGTCTCAGTTTGCTTGCGCTTCTTTCCTTTGTTTCTTGATCTATCCGCCTTCGAGGCCACAACGATCGAGCATCTAGCTCTAGCTGAAAATTGGATTTGGTATTTGGTGTGTTAGCTTGGATCCTATCCTGTATTTAGGCATCTAGCATGACGACCCCAATGAATACGCTTATCCAGGAACTCTATCGTCTAAGCCAAGCCATCGCGAAGCGAGCAAAGAACAGTAGCCTGAGGTAACCAAATCTGGAAGTCTAACCAACCATCGAGAATTCTACAAAGCCCAAATACCTCAACCTCAACCTCAAACCCCAAACCTACGTAGTAGTCCGCCCCCACGAATCCCAGACCTCCCAGGCCCCGGCCATAAAACTCACCAACCCGGTCAACTGCTCCGGGAACCCGATCCCCCCCTCAAAGCACCAATGCAAGCACAGCGGCGCCCAGCACACATTATTCACGAGACTCTTCCTCCACGCGCGGATCTCCCGGGCGTCTTCTGCTTCCGCCGACCCCTCCTTCCGCCCCTCCTGATTCTGTCGACTCCGCCGCAACCGCAGACTCCTCTCCCGCGCCAGCACGAAGAACTGCAAGAAGATATGCCCGAACCAGGCGCGCGTGCTCCACAGATCCCACTGCACGATGCCGCCCCACCGGTCGATGAGCCGGCGGCTGAGGATCCCCTTCGCGGCGAGGTAGCTTCCGTTCTCGAGGAGCTGGTAGATCACATTGACCAGGACCTGGAGGAGGGTGAGGATGTACAGCGTGCGGTCTTGGGGCGGGGAGCGCAGGGTCGCGGCGCCCCAGGTCCAGAGCGGGAGGAGGCCGAGGAGGCGCAGGGTGTACCGGGTTTCGGACATGAGGGAGGAGAGGGCGAGGAGGGGGGGTTTGTTTGGTGTGCTTGGTGAGGTGGTGGGTGGTGGCGGCGCGGAGGGGGTAGGCTTGGAGGGGGAGTGTTGGGCGAGATGGCGCTGCTGACGACGGAGACGCGCGAGGAGGCTTAGGCGGGTTTGGAAGGCGAGCCAGGGCGCCGAGGCGAGGAGGTGGTGCAGGGCGTGCGAGAGGTAGCCTGTTACGGCGAGGACGCGTTCGGTGCCGGCTGCTGTGGTGGTGAGTCTGTCGTTGTTAGTATGGAGTGTACGGTTGGAGGAGTGGTGGCTTGTGTTTTGGGAAGGATGGGAGAGGGCGGGGACCTACTTGTCGAGTCGCTCGATGGTGGTATCGGTTGCCCGAAGGGCTGCCAGCAGCTGACGACGAGCATGGAGGAGAGAGGAAGCTGATTGTGCTTTTGGTTTTGGTTGTGGTGGTGGTGAGGATCCCCGCGTTGGGTCTGAGGACGGCGATTTCCCCTCATCTTCTTGTGCTGGTGGTGGTGGTGGTGGTGATGGTGTGCTCTCACTTGGAGCCGATTCAGTGGTAACTTCGGGGTCTGCCATATTGTCTGGTGTATCCTGCGTCAGTCATCGCCAGCAGACGTCCAGGAGGGTCGGACGGAAGGGGGGTGGAGTGGAAGAGTACTATATAGACCAGGCGGTCATCTGCATCTGATCAGCCGTCGGTGCTTGGCGCGCGTGCCGAGGTTCGGAATTGGCTCGGAATGGGAAAGTCGATGGAGTTTGGAGTTGAACCGCGGGTCATTTTTGTTGATGAGATTAGATAACTATCCTGCCTGCCCCATTCAGTCGGTCATCGGATGGGGATGGACCTTACCAGATAATGGGTGGAATGGGTGGGTTTAGCGCCGCTGTTCGGTTTACGTAGTTCGCTAATTGATACACTAACTAACTTACTGTTGACCTTTCCTTGACTTCATGATTTCATTATCATCATGATCATGTAGCTCTGGCGACAACTCCTGCGGGATCCATTTTCATTCAATGCTCACTAAATCTTCCGTAGATTTCCAAGTACTCTTACAGCACAACATGTGAAATGTTACCCCGACCACACAACCTCCCCACTTCAATTCCTAGCTCAACGTCCCAGCACCAACATGACAAACCAATTCAGCGACCACGGCACATTAGTGGAGACAGGAGCCTTATAGTTCACCCCAAGATGAGGCCACTTCAAGCCCTCTTCCCCCGTCACAATATCAAGATTGGGTCAACCAAATCCGACTCGTCCGAGCCAACCGAGTCCTCCGAGTCACTCGTCCCTTCGTAGCACTCATCGCCCCTTTCAACGCGCTCCAGTTTCCCTTTACCCTTATCTTTACTTGCTTCTCCCTCAGTTTCCACCTCCTCGCTAGCCTCCACCTCAGTTTCCACCTCCTCGCTGACCTCCTCCTCCTCCTCAAACTCCTCTTCCTCACTACTATCCCCATCCTCACTATGAGACTCCTCTTCCCAAGGCTCCACCTCTTCAACAACCGGCATGACATCCTCCCAGACATGGAGACCCGAATTAATACAGCGCTCGCGACCCACCATCTGCCCAAACCGGAACACCTCGCGCTCCTCTCGCACCTCTTCCGGGTCCGCAGCCATGAGGTATCCGGGAGCCATGGGGAAGGGACAGGGGCCGCGCGGGCCACGAGGGCAGGGCGGCTGTTCCACCTGTCTGCGACACCGCCAAAGGAATTCACCATATCTCCTCTTCCGCAGTGTCGCGCGCAAGTGATTCCCGATATTGATCCAGACGGAGGAAGCTTCAGCACTGTAATCCCTCGGCGAGGGCGTCAGGCTGCGTCCGAGGGGTTCGAGGATGGCCTGTAGCCTGGCGCGCGCTCGCTGCAGCCGGTTAACCGGGGGTGGATAGTAGCTTGCGTTGGAGGGGTGGGAGGAGAGGGGTCCGTGGAACTGGCGGGGGGCTGCTGTTGCTGTCACTGGGTAGGAGGGTAATACGGTTGTGGATGAGGATAATGCTTGGCTTATTGGAGGTGGAGGGAGGGGCAGGTGGTGTGGGGACTGCGATGCACTGTTTAATCTGGCAATGGGGTAGGTGGGTAGCACTGATGGAGATCGGTTGCTGAAATCTCCTGTGGATGAGGAGGTGTAGGGAGACTGGGAGCCAGAGCTGGTAGCATCACTGGTCGATGTCGACATGTACGACGGTAGATCCACTGTCGACCTGGACGCAGGGCTTGTCACTCTCGAGCCAGAAGAGGAACTCTGAGAAGTAGACCCCGTGGCTGCGTTTGGGAGATAAGACGATAAGCGTGCTACACCACGATAGCTGGACACGGCATTTCGTGCGGGCTGCGACTCGCCTCCATAGTATCGAGGCACCGGAGGAGGAGTGACGGATGGGTTGGGTCGCTGCCCTAGATTGGAGACGAACACTGCGTTCACGACCACCCGCTCGCCCAAGTTGAAGGCACCCGGGAGTGGGAATTCGGGTCTACACACTGCGTTGATGCTGTCCCATGCTCGTTCCAAGTGTGCTGGTACGCAGCGATGACAAGCCCGCCATTTGCAATGTGGGATAGACTGTAGTGGGGGAGCTGAAGTGTCAGAGTCTGCGACTGGAAGCACGCCTTGAGTAATAGAGTCTGGACTGCGACAGGCATTCTGCGGAATATCCTCGCCATGCTTCACTCGCCCGGTAGTGGGTGAAGCATCGGTAGCGATCGAGCTACGACTCTGCTGAACATCTTCAATCAGCTGAACATGGGGACCATCGTCATCGGAGTCAGTATTCTGCTCTTCCTCCGCCCTGTGCATGGAAGGAAAGACGGTGACCCTCGAATAGCGTTCGTTGTACGCAACTCTCTCTTCGTACGCCCGACGGAAGACAGTGAGTTTCTGTTCGAGCAGTGTTTCCTTCTGCGCATCCGTGTACTTCCCAGCCTTAATGGCGTCGACCATCCACGCACTCAGCACCTCTCCGTCTCTGGTACCATTCGGGTCCCCGAAGCCGGGCTCGTCCACGGAACACTGATACAGCCAGCCGAGCGCCGGTCTACGGCCGCAGCGGTCACACACTTCGTGCGGATCCACGAGGGGCACCCGGTCCATTTTGCCATGTTTACACGAGCGGAGCCCCCATGGACGATCGTCTTCCACTGCCTGGTTCACGGGCCCATAGAAGATCGGGTCTCGGTCCCGGTCGATACGAGCGAGGAGTACTCTTGCGATCGCCGTTCGATTGACGCCGTTGGCTCGATTGTGGTTACCTGGGGTAGATGGCGGCTCGGCTCTCGCGGTGCTGTTGTTTGCGGGGCCGGGCGAAAGGACCGAATCTCGTTCGAACAACGGCTCTGTTATTCCTCTGATAGAGCTGGATGAACGGTTAGTCTGGATGTAGGCACTGGTTTTGGAGATAGAGGGTTGGCTTGGGCGGGATGATACCTTGTAGACGAAGTACGAGGACAGCTTGTGACACGCTCTGCAAAGTGCAAGCTTGTCTCGAAGTCAAGGCCAGTCCATGGTCTCTGACTTTGGAGAGGGTCGGTCTCAAGCTCTGAAGGCTCAGAGGCGGGGACATGATTGTGCTCGGTTGCTCTAGCGGGCTCCTGTTGCTCGGGGCTATGCTCGATGGCTCTCTCAGCACTACCCACGCGGTTGTTCTCGACAGATGCAACTTCTACAGAGACACGGAGCTCAGACTCTTGGTCATGTGGAGTATCTGCGGGATGAGATGGATCATGGTCAGATAGTGTTGCCGGGATCTCCGCTGAGGTGTCCATGTTGGACGAGGAGTCCGGCTCTGTGTTGGACTTGCTTGCAGAAAGTTTTTTCATTTCTTCTGCGTGAGAACAGTGCTGGAGGCTTTAGAAGATGGAGAGAACGTGTGAACCGCCTCTAGCAGACTGGATAGCTAACTGAGATGTATCTATTCCGTGATCTGAGAACGCTAGATAGCAAAGGACAAGAAGCATGGACGTATGAACACGGAGGGGACAGAGGAAGCAGAGAACAGCAGAAAATGAGATAGCTAGCTAGAACACGCTCATGTTCACCAGTGAACGTAACATTGCGTCGGAGCAGATGGGAATCGTCGGGGGCGACCCTCTGTTTTGTTGGGATGTGCATAATGTCGCTCTGGCTGACCTGAGCGCAAAGGAGAAAGCGCAAACACCAAGACGAGCGCAGTCTGAGCAGAAGCTCACATGGTTGCGGATAGCCCTACTTCTCCGATGAATGAAATCACAGCAGTGCAGTAGTAGACTATACTTGGCCAATGCACTGGCTATCGATCTTGAGATACAAAGAAATTGTACTGAATTCTTCTCTAGAAACTCTTTGGCATCGGACTTAGTTACATTTACCTACATGTCTGTTAGTACATGAGCCTGGATTTCTTGAAAGAAGGGGATGAAGTACAGATATAGTATCTAGAAGCAGAACAGCCCTGCCTGGTGGTGGTTATCACCCTCAGTCAACATCAACGGCCTGCACTTATCCGAAATAGGCTGAGTTTTCCGAGCTCATCCTGGTATTAATGCACCTGAGAGTTCTGACGAAGACTGTGCAAGATTGTTTCCAGTCATTGTTAGCTGCAACAAATTGCGAATGAACAAAACATCTAAATATCTTGATTGTTTACATAGATGAAGATACAGAAGGAAAATTAGTAGTGGTGATGGCGGAGTAACTACGGTAATTGTTATGTACATAGTCGGAGGTGACCGAAGGACAGCGGCGGAATCCCTACCGAGCTGAGCTGATCTTACCGTACTGTACGGAGGCCTTACCTAGTCAAACAGGTATAAAGTTGACGCGAGGTCCATTTGTTCTGTAACTTCTGTTTGTGGCCGGTTTGACCTTCCCAGTTTCCCACTGACTGCCACTGACTGTCTCTCTCCTTCTCCGACTTCGCCCTCACCTTTGCCCTCCCTCCTCTAGCTTCAAAGTGAATTGTTATTTGTTGTCATTCTGCTTCTTTCCCTTCAGAATCTTCCAAGTTGGGTCTACTTCCACTTCTACTACTACTACATTTCCCCCGCGGGTGTTTCCATTGTGACAGTACAAGCAATTGACTGACGTGTGCTGGTTCCAATCGATTGGAGTTGTAACCTCGGTAAGCACTGATTTATTACCAGCCTTGAACCACCCATCGGCTTCCAGCCTCTCCTCATCGCGGGCCATTTCCCTCTTCCTCCTCCACTTCAGCCGATAAACAAACCAACCCCTGGTCCGACCCTCTCTTGCGCGGGACGCCCATCCGACCATTTGCCTGCCAATTTCCCTTCCCCCCCAGTCTGTCCCCCAACAATACCCACTCACTCACCACACCTTATTCCATCCGCATCCCTCCGTTGCTTCTACTGTCCATTGCAACCCTGAATGGTTTCCTCTTACTTACAGCTCCTGCGATCACCTTAGACTGCCTTACTGCTCTGCTATCTCTACGCAATTGCCGTCACCAACGTTATCTCGGATTTCCGATCGCTCATCTACCCACACCATCTAGATCGCGCGCTTAATCTCCTTCCTTCGATCCAACAGCAGCAGCAGCAGCCATGTCCGCCAAATTCCAAGATGAGGCCGTCACCTCCCTCCGGAAAGACACAAAAGAATTGGTGCACAAAGTCGGCGAGCGACTGACTGGCGGGGGTTATCTCAACGTACGTTGGTCTCTGGTGTTGACGTTTGAAACCCTCCCGGACAACTCTGGCTGACTGGCTCTTCTCGGCCGACTCTAGCTCTACCTCCGCCAACTGCAGCAAAACCCCCTGCGCACCAAGATGTTGACGTCGGGAGTGCTGTCCGGTCTGCAGGAGATCCTGGCGTCCTGGATCGCGCACGATGTCAGCAAGAACGGCCACTACCTCAGCCCGCGGGTGCCCAAGATGGTCCTGTACGGCATGTTCATCAGCGCCCCGCTGGGCCACTTCCTGATCGGGATCCTCCAAAAGGTGTTCGCTGGACGGACTAGCCTGAAGGCCAAGGTGCTGCAGATCTTGGCCAGCAACCTGCTCGTGAGTGTCGCACGCGATGCACGAGGGATTCCAATCCGCTGACTCGGCCCGCAGGTCTCCCCCATCCAGAACGCCGTGTACCTGACCAGCATGGCGGTCATTGCCGGTGCGCGCACCATCCACCAGGTCCGCGCCACCGTCCGGGCGGGCTTCATGCCCGTCATGAAGGTCAGCTGGGTGACCTCGCCCATCGCGCTGGCCTTTGCGCAGAAGTTCCTGCCGGAGCACACCTGGGTGCCGTTCTTCAACATTGTCGGGTTCGTCATCGGAACCTACGTCAACACCCACACGAAGAAGAAGCGCCTCGAAGCGCTCCGGAAGGTGAGCCTCATGTTGTTCCGTAGGTGGAACAGTGCTAATCCCATACCAGCGTTACGACCAGCGTCGTGGTCCCGGCAGCGAGTACGACAAGGGCGACTACCGGTAAATACTGTACATATGAAAATCCAACCTCCATGACCATCGCTGGTCGATTGAGGGTAATGCGGCCAATATACCCATGACGACCACCTCCTCTTTGACCTATGCCATCTACATATGCCATCTACCTATACCACCCACTCCATGCCCCCGCCCCGAATGATGTTCAATTTGCGATATGTCCCGTTCATGGCTCTGGCGTTGCGACGAGTGTCTATCCTGCTATGATGAAACCATATTTACGTAGTATATCGCCATTCGAACCGCAAATGGAAATCCATACCTTAAGCCCCGTTGACACCGTTAAGCTGCGCTTAGTCTCCCTCGTGGCAGTAGTCACCCCGAGTCAACCAAGTACATCCTACAACTCTCCACCTGAAAACACGATAGAAAATCCATTCATCAACACCACTGCATGCGTATCTACCTTCCAACCACAACCAACCACCCCACAACCCAACCTTCCATCCCCTCTACCACCCCGCCACAAATAAACCTACTCAACCTCCATCTCCCCACCCGCACCGCCACCCTTCCTCTTCCCCACCACAAACTCCACAAACTCATCAATCACCCCGGGCCACGCCCCATCCGCACTCCACCACCCCATCGCCTCATCCTCGCCCGTCTTGCGCATGAACACCTCCACCTGCTCCCACAGATCCTTATTGACGGGCCGCGGCCCGCGCCCCTCCAGGAACTCGAGCCACCAGTCCAGCCACGGCGTCGTCGCCGAGCCCCACGCCACGCCGCCGTGCTCCGCCGTGAAGAACAGCCGCCACTGCTCCGCCGCGATCTCGAACTGCAGGTTGCGCTGGCCCTGCATCCGGCACAGCGGGAACGTGTACCGGTACACCCGGCGGAAGAGGTCCGGTTCGATAGGCAGGCGCGCGCGGAGCTCCGCCGCGTGCGCCGTCATTTTGGCGAGGGTGTCGGCTCTATCCCTCTTCAGTATCAGGGTTTTATCTTAAGGGGGGAGGAACTGGGGGAAGGGGGTGGGGGAACAGGGGAACTAGGGGATTGGGGTAAAAGGTATAAGGAAGGGGGTAGGGGCAAAGGGTAGGGGGCGTACCCGAGAGCGCGCCATCCATGCAGAAATCCTTCTCGCGTGAATTCGCCCATCGTCGGGGATTTGACGAGCTCCGCGATGGCGAGGCAGGTTACTTCGTCGAGTTGCACGGAGATGTCGCCTAGGAACCGCATTACGCCGTCGATGCCGATGGTCTCGGGGGATTCTTCGGGGGAGTCTGGTGGGGTTTAGTTGGGGTGGGATGGGGAGTTTTGGGGATTGAGGGGGAAGTACCGCTGTAGCTGTCGAAGATCTTGTTGATCGCGCTTGTGCTGGCTCCGGCGCCAGAGGGGCTTTGGAAGTATCTGTGGTTTTGGGGGTGGTTAGTGCGGTTGAGGTGATGGGATGGTCTATGGGTTGAGATGGCAGGGTGGTCTATGAGAGGGGTTGGAGAGGGTTTCCTGTGGTTGCTGGGCTGGCGGTTGGCTTGTGGTCTTGCAATGATATCGGGCTCGTAGCTTGGCCAGATGGTAGATGGGCGTTGTCGTTGTAGCGACGGTGCCAATCCATGATTGACTTGCTTAAGGACCAATCGCTTTTTTAGTGAAGTGCAAGCAACGGAGGCTAAGCTATCCATCTGGCGAGAGATATTGCTCTGAACCAGATTGCATGGCCGCCTGGCTGCTGACTTGCGCTTGGCGATTCATCGATGGATTCGTGGCGAGCTCCTAATGCCATAACTGCCATAACCACCGAGTCCCGTGAGCTGGTCCGCCTGGTACAAATTCCATGCACCACAAGCCATCCTGGCTCCGAGAGAAACACCCAAGAACAAAGCACCGGCCTAGCAACCCATGAAGCCGCAACCGCAACCCAGGCAGGATGGACCCGGATCATCAGATGATGATACCCACAAAAAGACATCCCCGGAGTGAGAGTAAGACCATATCCCATGAGCGAGAAGGAGGCAAGCACCTACGTATTGATAGCTTCTTCAAGGTCCCATCGTGCCGCTTTCAAGAACTATACCAATCAACAGCACCGGTTAGCCACATATCCCACGCACGTGATGCCCCCGGAGCCATGAACCGGATAGGACAGGGGCGAAACATGATCGGAGAGATCGGTCGAAATTACCTTGGCAGCCGCTGTGTCCTTCGCTTGCGTGAAGCTGATGAACTGTGCTATTTGTTGCTTCTGCAGACTCGAGTAGGGCGGCATGATGATGGATGATGGTGGTCGTGGTGGTGGGGGTGTGGCTTGCCCGGATCAAATGTTGACGATGGCGGGGGAACCTCTGCGCGCGCGCGGAAAAGCTCAGATGATCAGAATGAAGGCCGTGCAAGTCTGAGATTGTGTTATGTGTATAGCAAGATTGGAAGCTATCGGGGCGAAGGGATGAACGCCAAAGTTGAGACTGCGAACGCCTCCGGCTGGTTGTCGCAGTTCTTAATTTGTTTCTCGATGAGGGGGGGAGATCGGCCGAATTGAGCGGTGGTTTCCGCTGCAGTGCCCGCTGAGAGAGTGAGAGAGTTCAGTTGCCCGTGGCCCCGTGCACGTGCCCCGCATCGGATGCTGCTGGTTCGGATATCAGATCTCTCTCAGTGAAGGTGGTCGATCAGGGCTGCCATGGCTACTATAGTCTAGTCATTCACTGAATTCACATTTGGAAAGCGGGGGTATGACTGGACTCATTCACACTGTACTACATGTCCACGGTTTCACACCTTTCTACATATCAGAGATGAAAAACTACTCCGGTCCAGAGCTCCAATAGTGCAATGCAGCACTAATCTAATTCTGAACAACAGGATTATAGACAGTACCAAATGATGCCAATAATGATATTGTCTCATGCGTCAGACATAGTACAAGGCTAGACACCAGGATAAAGACTTTTCTAGACAGAACAACCATAGCCACACAATGAAAAAAAAAACGACTCCAAAACTCCTGCGAGAATCCCAAGGTATCTATAAAAAATAACCCCATGATCGATTCCGCGTATGCAACACTTTTCTCTAGGTCGTGAAAAGAGTATCTTCCTGTGCAATGGGTCAGCACTCTGCCCGTCTCGATTTCCAAAAAGCAAGCTCACCTCTCTCAGATACTCTCCGCAATCTGCCTGGCGGAAGACGACAATCGCCGTGGGCTCGAGTTTCCGTGCCTCGGCAGTGGACCGAGCAGTGACTCCGAATCCCTACAATCAATAAGTCAGCGACCATTGCGGCCAGAGCTGGACGCGCGACGAGAGCATCTTTACCAAAGGTGTATCATTCTGGTCGAGCACAACCACTCCAGCATGCTCCGGGCAGTCATCGGACCATCTTCCGACGTGCGCCTTGACAACGTTGCCCTGGCAAGTAATTAGCATCAGTTCGCCATCACCCTGTACCCCAGCGGCAAAGCCGCGCGTCAACACCCTAAGAAAACTTACTCCGTACAAGAACGGGGCGACACCGTTCGGCTTGATCCAGACCTTGAACCGCGCGTGAGGGGAGATCACGTCCAGCGCAGTGATGTGGAGCTACACAACGTCAGTCAATCCGAATCACATGGCCCGCCCTCACAACCGGTATGCCCTTACTCTCATCTTTCCGGTCTTGGTAAGCTTTCCGATCGCAGTACCCATCGACAGCAAGCAATCGCGAGGAATGGAGGTCGCCAGGTTGGCCAAGGACAGCGGGACGTAGTAGATGCGGCTGCCGATCATGCGGAACACATAGCGGTCGTTGTCTTCGGAACCGGCCGTGATCAGATTCGAGATGGACCGTCCACAGTAGGCACTGAGCTTCTCAAAGAGCGTCTTCGTCTCCTCTAGAGTCTCCGAGTCAGCAATCCGGTGCGGTAATGGTCTGCAGCGATTGCGCTGTCTGCAGCAGATGAGTCCCAAGGCAAGACTAACCTTCAGTAAGTTGACGCATGATGAAATGTGATCTAAGTACGACACGGCGTACTCAAAGAGAAGAAGGAAAAGATATACACGGACGAAATTCGAATCGAAAAATGCTTGGAGGGGGTTTATCAAAAAAAGAGCAATCTTGAAGTCAAAAAAGCTCCGCGGAAACAAAAATTCTAGGCGGTGGATCCCGACGGGGAAGGCGGTGGGAGCGACGGTACTGTACCTTTTTCATTGCCCGTGTCTTGGCACCAGCAAGAGAGAAAAAAAGTTTCGGACAGTCCAATCCCGCAAAAAGATTCCCCCCTCAAAAGGTAGAAGACCATTCACCAACATCAAAATGGCGCCTGGACGCACGACGAAGCGCAGACGGGTGAGTCCCCCGGGCGACGATGAACCTGCATCCTCGCAACCTTCTGGCGCCCCTATTGGCGACTTCTACAGCCATGCCGCCGAATGGGACCTCGAACAAGACTATGAGCGCCGACCCCGCAAATCCGGCAAGAAGGACAAGGAGCGCACACGACTGCCCATCAAGACGGCGGAGGGTTTCCAGACCATGGAGGAGCCTGAGATTGAAGCGGAGGAGTCAGACAGCTTTCTCGGGACAGACGACGATGAGGACGAGGAGATGGACGATACTGCCGCAGACGAAGACGAGGACGAGGCGGAGGAAGTGAAGGAAGAAGCGCCGAAGATCCCTCTGAAGGTGCAGATCATCCAAGCGAAGGAAGAGATTGCCAGACTGGCTACATTAATCAATGAAGATCCGGAGGAGCACATCCCATTGTTCAAGACGATGGCTGAGATGGTGGACCCCAGCAAGCACGTTGCGATCCAGAAGCTCGCCCTCGCCTCGCAAGCCGCAGTATACAAGGATGTCATCCCCGGGTACCGCATCCGCCCCCTCACCGACCAGGACATGACCGGCAAGATCTCCAAGGAAGTGCGCAAACTCCGCAGCTACGAGCAGTCCCTCCTCTCCAACTACAAGCACTATATCGGAAAGCTGGTCGAAATCACCAAGCCGCAAAAGCGAGACGCCGCCCCCGTCGATGCGGGCTTGAAGACGATCGCCATCAACTGCGCGTGCAACCTGCTGCTTTCCGTACCGCACTTCAACTTCCGCACCGAGTTGCTGAAGATCCTCATCAATCGGCTGGCCCGGAGACAGGTCGACGCGGATTTCGTCAAGTGCCGCGAAACCCTGGAAGACGTGTTTCAGAAAGACGAGGATGGAGTCGTATCGCTGGAAGCCGTCCGCTTGCTCTCTAAGCTGATGAAGGCGAAGGAGTTCCGCGTCCACGAAAGTGTGCTGGACACCTTCCTCAGCCTGCGACTGCTCTCGGAATTCGCGCACAAGGCCTCCCGGGACCGGATCGAGCGCGAGCCCGAAGAGGAGAACTTCGGGGGCAAGAAGCCCAAGCAAAAACGGGAGTTCCGCACCAAGAAGGAGCGCAAGGTGCAGAAGGAACGGAAGGCGGTCGAGAAGGATATGAAGGAGGCGGACGCGCTGGTGTCGCATGAGGAGCGGGACAAGAACCAAGCCGAGACCCTCAAGCTGGTCTTTGGCGTCTACTTCCGCATCCTGAAGTTGCGCATCCCCACCCTCATGGGCCCCGTCCTCGAGGGTCTGGCTAAATACGCCCACCTGATCAACCAGGACTTCTTCGGTGATCTGCTGGAGGCGCTGAAGGAGCTGATCGCGCACGCCGATCGCGACGAGGAAGAGAACCACACCGAGGAAGCCGACGACGACAACGATGCGCAGCCGACCAGCACGCGGGACGCGCACCGCGAAGCTTTGTTGTGCACGGTCACGGCGTTCGCGCTCCTGGAAGGGCAGGACGCCAGCAAAGCGGCGGCCAACCTCCACCTGGACCTGAGCTACTTCGTCAAGCACCTCTACCGCTCCCTGTACACGCTCTCCATCAACCCGGACGTCGAATACAACCCGGACAAGTCGCTGCGCCTGCCGGACCCGGACTCGCACGCGGCCCACCAGCACGCGCCGCGATCCCGCAAGAAGGTCAACTTCCAGACCCCGACCGTCCTCCTCCTCCGCTGCCTCCACTCGACCCTCATCTCGCGGGCCCACGGCAACCCGCCGCCCGTCCGCCTCGGCGGGTTCGCCAAGCGCCTCATGACCTCCTCGCTGCAGCTGCCGGAGAAGTCGGCGATCGCGACGCTCTCGCTCATGAACCAGGTCGCGCGGCACAACGCCCGCCGCATCGCCTCGCTCTGGCACAGCGAGGAGCGCCGAGGGGACGGCGTCTTCAACCCGTTTGCCGCGGACATCGAGACCACCAACGTCTTCGCGGGCACGGTCTGGGAGGGCGAGCTGCTGCGAAACCACTACTGTCCCCAGATCCGGGATGCGGCGTTGGACATCGAGAAGATGATTGTGACAAGGAATTGAGGGCGTTGGCTTCCTGTGTGTTATCTGTTTTCTCCAGCGAGTTGTACAAAAATACCAGTTTTGATCGTTCAACGGGTGGCCCCTTCTGTAAATGTTCATACTACTATCCCAAGAGGACGTCTGTCGTGCACACTACTTCCTCAACCGAAACCTGGAGAAGAATTGACTCGAAATCATTTTCGTTTTAATGAAGCGATAACAAAGCTTCCAATCATCCCCGTGAATACAAGAAAAAGGAAAAACAACACCAAACACGTGCATTCCTCCCGAACCCAACCCAACCCCAACCCCCAACCCTTTCCATAGTGCAACGAACGCCATGCTCAATCTCCCAATCCACCTCTCATCATCTCATCACTCATAATTCATTTTCGCGTCATCGTTAATTCATGCAACCCATTAAAGATACAAACCTTGATCAACAGAAGAAAAACACAAGAGGGATTTTCTCTTTTCAACTTTTTTTTGTTTTTGTGTTTTTTTTTTAATTTTTGTTCGATTTTTTGGTTAAAGTGAAGTAAGTCACCCTGACCTCTCCATCTTCATAACACGTCAGTCAAGAACCAACCCAACCCAAGACACGTCAGGGACATACACACATTCCTCAAACAAGCTCATCCTCCTCCGGCACGTAGATGGACGCATCCCGGTGGCGGGTGCCGCGGTTGTACTGCACGGCCGGGGCATCGGGGGTGGCGGGGAGCTTGTCGTGGTACGCCTTGAGGTACTCGGGCAGATCGGCGGGGGGCGCGACGAGCGAGTCCACGCGCTTGGGCGGCGCCGGGGCGACGATGCGCGCGTAGGGATCGTTGTCGAACATGCCCGGGTAGTAGTCCGGGATGACGTCGGACTTGATGTCCGGGTCGACGAAGCCGCGGAAGGTCAGCGCGATGTCCTGGCGTTCGCGCGGGTAGTAGTCCGGGTGCGGGGGCACGTCCTGCGCGATCTCCATGCGCGCGAAGCCGCCGGTCGGGGTCGGGATGTTGCTGATGTAGGTGGTGTCCCGCGGTTTGTTACTGGTCTTGTGGGAGGTGTGGGTGGTGGTTGTCACGGTGGCCATGTTGGTACGCGTGGGAGTGGGAGTGGGAGTGGTAGGGGTGGTGTGCTTGCGGGCGCGGGGGGCGGCGCTGGCGGTGGCCTGCTCCTGCTGCTGCTTCGCATTCGACACGATGGTGTTGATGTTCGAGACGATGGTCTGCACGTTGGCGTTGGCGGCGGGTCGGGGGAGGTTGGATGGCTTGGCCGTGATGCTGGTGGGAGTGCTGATGGTGGGCTTGCCCGTGGTGGTTGGAGTACTCGGGGCTTTGGTGGCGGGTTTGACGCCGGCACTGGCACTGGCACTGGCACTGGCTGACGATACGGTCGCCTGTTTGTTCGAGACATGGGTGGTGCTCTTGATGCTGGAGCCGGACGACGCGGTCGCCTGTTTGGCACTCTTGGTGCTCTTGGTACTCAGGTTCGAGATACTCTTTTTCGACAAGCTGGCAACACTCTTCTTGGACAAGCTCGACGTGCTCTTCTTCGACATGAACCCCTTCACATCCTCGCGATACTCAAAGTCCAGGACCTTGGCCGCCTTGCCCAGATTCTGCTTCTGTCGGGACTCTGTCTTGGACCTGCGCCGGGGCCCGTCCTTGTTCATCCAGTGGTGGTACTTCTTGGTCGCCCACTGGGAGCCGTAGTGGCGCGCGATCGGGCTGTCCTCGTCGACCTCCTCGTGATCATACTGATCCAGATCGAGAATGTAGTGGTAGTTCTTGGGGGTGCTGGGCTTGGAGGCGATCAGCTTTGCGGTCTCGGTCCGGATGACTTCCTCCCAGGGTGTCGACGGGTCGGCGCGCTCGATGGCGCGGATGAAGTGGCGGTCCAACGCGGTGCGCATGCCCTCGGGAACCTCTCGGGGATCGCTGTATGTGATGGCCGGAGACTTTGGGGCCGACAGCTCCTCCGCTGCTGCAGGCTCGGTGGTGTTCTGGCTGCCGGGGGTGCGCGGGCTCTTTTCATCCGCGGTCGGGCGGTCATGATGGTCATTCTTGATTTCGGTGCCGGTCTGGCTGGGCGGATCGACCTTCTGGAGATTGAGGGGATGGGGCCTGTGCTTCTGGATAGGTTTGTGCTCCAGCTCGTTGCGAGGCTTGAGCTGAGCCTTGGTTTTCAACTCGGGCAAGGGCTCAATCGGCGCCGCTGCCTCGGCTTGTGCTTTGGTGTTGCTGGGCTTACGCGGACGCACGTAGCCCCAAACCTCCTTCAGATCGGGGACTCTCATCGTCGCAGCAATCGCAGGGTCTAAGTTGGGGTAGTCGGCGAAATTCACGGATTTCTTCGAACGAGTAGTGGAGGTGGACTGAGCGGTGGTGGTGCTGGAGGGTGAGGTTTCTTGCTGAGTTGGGGAGGGAATATCAGATTGATCTTTGCTGAGTGTCAACACCTCGCACTGCGTATCACGGTTCTCAGAAGCAGAAGCGGATGTCTTGGGATGACTGGTGGGGGTTGACTGAACAGTAGTGCTGGAGGGTGAGGTTTCTTGCTGAGGAGGTGAGGAGAGCTCAGATTGAAACTTGTTAGATGGCAACACCTTACACGGCTCAACACGGTTCTCAGAAGCGGGCTTTTGGGGACGAGGAGTGGTGTCAGAGTGAACGGTAGTGGAGGGTGAGGTTGTGTCCTGAGTGGGAGAGGGAATATCAGGTTGATATTTGTCAGATTTCAACACCTCACCCAGTTCAATACGGCTCTCAGACGCAGATTCCTTAGGACGAGGAGTGTTGGCAGACTGAACAGTGGTTTTAGAAAGTGAGGTTTTGTTCTGGACAGGTGAGGGCGGCTCAGCCTGGCCTTTGTCAGGTGTCGACACCACAGACTGTTTAACACGGCCCTCAGCAGCGCATTCACTGTTCTTCCTGGAGCCAACAAGCGGGTCCGCTGCGGAATCCTGCGGATTTTCACTTCTACCCTGCGGCGGAACTTTCTCAGCTGCTGGGGTGGTGGGTGTTGTTGTGGCTGACGGGCTAGTAGTCGTCGTCGTCGTCGTCTGTCTGCTGTTCGCACGCTCCAGGCTATCCAACACATTGGTGAGCTTCAGCTCCAGCATGCCCTTCCCGCTGAGACGCGATCTCTGCCTCACGGACCCTCGCTTCTGAGTGCTGCCAAAGCTGCTCTTGACATCCTCCGGGCCCTGCAGCCTCGTACAAGTCTCTCCCTGTATGGGGTTGTGGGGTCCAGCGGCCTTGAGGCTTTGAATCCCCTGCGCCAATTTCGAAACCTCTTCGCGGACCAGAGCAGTAAGTCTACCCTCCATACTGTGCATATCCTGCCGGACCGCCGCCACCTGGGACCGAATATCCTTCATCATGCGCTGGGTCTGGTTTAGCATCTCCTCCTGGGCGATGGTCTTGGCGTTGATCAGCCGCGCGATGTCCGACATCTCGTCGACCTGCTTCATGATCCGATCCAGGTGCCAGTTCTTGCTGTCCTCGAAGGACTTGCTCAGTCGGCTGGCCGTCTTGTCCACGTGGTAGTGCAGCTCCGTGATGTGCGTGGTCAGCTTGCACTCCAGCGACGCCGTGTTCTGATACTGGGGGTCCGGCGGCGCAGGCGCATACCCACCGCGGGTGGGCGTCGGCATCTTACCGCTGTACTCATGGGGTGCAGGTCCTGCTACTCCATGGACTCCATGGGTGTTATAGCTCGTCTGGATCGAGGACGGGTACGCGGTGGGGGCTTTGTCCGGCGCTCGCATCGAGGGGTCCTCCACGAGTGTCGCATACGGGTTCAGCACGCTGTATCGTGTGGGCACTGGGCGACGTTCATTATCCTCTGGCTCGATAAACCCTGGCGGTGGGAGTTGGAGGTCTCGAAGATCCAAATTGAAGACCGACGACGCGGGCCGTGAGGCGTATACGGATGGCGAGTACGTCTGCCCTGGGTTCAGAATCGTCGGACACTGGTAGCCCTGCAACTCTTTGAGGAGCGATGCCTTATACTCAGGGTTGATGGCATGGGCTTGTTGCTGCGCATGATTCTTCGTCTCCGGTGTCGACTCGGTGTTACGGCGGATGCTGGGCACTCTCTGAGATCCGTCGACCACAAGCGGTTCGTATCCCGGCTTTGGGGAGTGATGTGGAGGTTGCAGAGCCGCCGTTGATGCAGTACTGTCATCGGGGTCGATTATGGAGATGCCCTTTGAGCTGTCGATAGCGAGGGGCTTGTCCTCGGGCTTGTTGTCGCTGCACGGTTGGGGCTTGGTGCTCGCAGTCCTGTCGGTGTTACGTTGTGGGATTTTTTTCGATCCATCGGCGACGAGTGATGTGTTTTCGGTGGACTTAATGGGCTCGGGTTTCTTAACGGTGGATGTTGGTCCCTTGACGGTCGACGTGGACGAGTTGGAAGAGTGAGCGGGCCCAGATCTCGATCGACCGATGACAAGTGGTGTATACTCCGTCGAGTTTCCGGGCTCCTGCTCATCCGTATCGAGCAAGCCAGATTGGTGAGCAGACACATCCATCACCCTATCAATCACGAGAGGCTTATACTGCGCAACATTACCGGTTCTGTGATGCAGTCTCGGCGGCATCTGCACACGGGGCTGCTCGCTCGCCTTGTCAATCACAGGCGGGACCTCAGACTTTTGAGCACCGTCGCCGGCAGGCTTGTCCTGCGCAGATTCACCCACTGCCGTGCTGCTGCTACTATTCTCCTTACACCCCCCATCCAACTTCGGCAGCGCCTCCGTGGAGTCATCCTCCGGGGGCGGGCCGACCCAGGTGCAGGGCTTATAGTTCTTCGGGTACTTGGGCGGCCGCCAGACGGTGGCTTCGGGATACTTGGGATTGACGGGGATGGGTTTCTTCTTGGGCTCCGACACCCAGATTCCGTGTTTCTTGAGCAGACCCTTTTCGATGTCCTTGCGCCAGCCCGGGTCGACCGCGTCCAGGTAGTCCTCGGCGCGGATCCAGAGCGAGGTATCGGCGGGCGGCTTGTGACCTAGTAGGGGCAGGTCCTTGAACGAGAGCTTGGACCGCAGGGCCTGCAGGAAGCTCGGCTTCTCGTCCGGTTCCCAGTAGCTGTGCTCGGGGCCGGGGTCTCCGCCATCCTTGGGGCGTTTCTCCCGCTTGAACCGGCGGATGGGGTCGGTGAACGACCGTTTCGCCGTCGGCTTGGGGATGATGATTATGTCGGGCTCGGTGAAGGAGCGTTTCGTCTTGACCTCGACGTCGGTGGAGGAGCGTTTGTTCGCCTTGGGCGTTGTTGCTACCTCCGGTTGCGTGAATGACCGTTTCGGCTGGGGTCGCGCTGCTACCTCCGCATACGTCCGCTTCACCTTGGGTGAGTTGTCAGACTCGTCATATGCCACACTATACACCGAAGTATTGGGGGTCTCTTCGGAGATGCGAACCCGTCGTCTGGGCCTCGGTATGAGAGCAGCTTCCAGAATAGGATCATAACTCCTTCTAACAGAGCTGCTGGGGTTCCTCGACGACACCAGAGACGAGGGGTGAGTGAAAGTAGTGGTGGTGGAAGTGGTTTCTATACCGTCGGTCGGCTGTCAGTTTGTGCATCATGCAGCAACAAGAGAACAAACATACCGTTTGAGAAGCGAGTGTCGGGTCTTTGCGTCTTGTTCTCGTTCTGCAGTTGCTGCTGCACCTGCTGCAGGCGTTCTTGTTCACGGGCAGCTTTAATCGCCCACGCATTGCCATCTAGAGGCGCCATGGTCGGCGATCGCTGTACTTAAGGCCTAGATGGACAAGGCACTACAAAGGCTGTTAGTCTATCATCAAGCAGTTCTCTTCGCTGCTGTGTTTGATGCAACAGACAGAATAATAAACTTACGTGGGTTTGCACAAGAAGAGCGCGTCTTTCACACAACAGAGTAACGACGTTCTATTCCGCTACCTGTTTCACGCAACAGTATCACGATGTTTCTGTTTTGCAGTTGACAGAGAGAGCTGCTTTCCAGAGCCTAGGGACAACAATCGATCATGTTAGCATTAAATCTCAGCATTAGCGCGCAAGACGAAACACAAGAGGTGAAAATCACAAACCTTCCTCTGCTATATCAAGCAGAAGTTGAGCCCGGA